TAACTCAATCGCTATTTGAAAATGCCTCAATTAATCTTTTTGTTAACTACGGTATATAAAGTCCTCATCATAAGGCACCATACACGCCGAGTGTAATGCGATTCAGTGGTATTTCAGAGAAGGAGTTGGAATAATGCTTAGCAATGCTGGTGTGGAATCTTATGTATTGATATCGTGGTATCTAAGCAGTTAAACGCTTTGCATTCCAACGATTTCTTTGATGGGACACTAGTGAAGTGCGATGGCGCACAGTCGGATCGACACAGAAGCACATCTTGAGCTGGCTCGGCATATACATCACCTCGAAGGTTTATTGGCAAAGAAAGATAACTATTTTGCTATTCGTTGTAATAGATGTGGCAACGACATCGCTAAGCGCAACGATACATGATCTGAATATACGAGTATCAAGGTGATGTACTCTGAGCCTGACGAGGGCATACTTTCTTAGAAGTAACCCCTCGTTCAGAATCGGATAGATTTACTGTATGTGACAAGGGGCTACTTTTAACATAGGTTTCAGTTGGCGAGATTCATACGCGATTATGAATTTATACTCATTAGCATCCGCTTGGGGAAAACCTCAGCCGACTGCAAAGGTCCGGCGTCACAGATGTCGTGGAATAGCCGAAACGAATCAGGAAGAGCCAGATAGGAAAACGCATGTCAATTTTTCATGGTCGAAATTGCCACCTCTTTTGCCGCGCTTCAATGCACTTTTGCATCCGAATTTGTCGAGATTAGTCGCCACGTCGTAATGCTACCTCAAAAATGGATGAAAATAATCCGTAGAATGCTGGAGTATAGCAGTGTCATTGCTCGATGTGTGCTTTTCGATTGCTCTCAGTGACAACCTCACCTGTGAGAACGAATACCTCAACTCCTCCTTCCGTATCATTTGCACTCCTGTAGTACCTGTATTGTCTTGCGCAAATTTTTGCAAACACCCCCGTTTCTTCATTAAGCGCGTCTACTCCATGATGAAAGACTCCCGACTTTATGACTTCCATGATTCGTATGACAGTAAATAATATCTCTCACCGCATTCCCGTGAAGCTTTACTGCTTTGCACGGTGGTGGTGTTACAAGGTAGTGCTGACTCACTAGTGCCGTTAAATCGTGTAAAGATTCGTCCCTTTAGGGTTATGCCTTTCTACGTCTAGCTTGGAGCCGCTCTTCAACTCCAACGGCCACGACACAGAAAATCGCGATACCTTTCTTATCTACTCCAAACTGCTTCTTACGCCCCACCAGCGATGCACGTCGATGTTAACGACATACAATTGTTTTCTCTGTCGCAACAGGGGAACAGTCTGGAGACCATTTTATAGATTCTCTTCTCTCGTCATGAAATCGCAGCTCACTATCACTCCTGTATTCAGAGGTCTATTTAAGATACTTGACAGAGAAGCTCTTATGTTTTGGGGTCACGTCATAAGGACTTCTGCTTTCGGAAGATCAGGGTTTATGGCTCCTCAGAGCTCCACTTGGAGAAAGTACGACACCGAGCTTTTACTATATCCAGTCGATCCATGACTCCTGACATTTAAGCCAAGTCTACCCGTAAAAAAACACATCTCGAATATATTTTCAGGACGAAACCGCATACCACGCTGTCAAAGTCCTCGAACTTCATTTGAAGTTCGAGAAACACGGATATTGTATATATATTCGACACCCATGACCTATTTACTGCTTTCGATAGTCGCACAGCATACGTCATTGCTCGACGCGACAGAATCCTTCGGAACGTTTCGTGGCCTAATAAAGTCCAGGCCTTTGAATTCAAAACCAACAACCCCGGGCTGAGAGCCCCATCTCTTTTTAAACAATTGCTTTATTAGAACTTTGACCTTTTGACCAAGACCTGAACGCAATGTAGTCATTTACTAGTAGGTTCAGAGAGTCCTAAAAAGCACATGAGGGGTGTCGAATGACTTTGCGTTTTACTCGACGCTGCGTGTCTCTCAGCCGAGAGCAAAGGACACCCGCATGGCGCGGATGGTTTTTCCTTCCACATATGAAACATCAACAATACCGCGGAGTTCATCGGCGGCAGAAAGATCTCGCTCTTCTTCGTTAGCATAGCTAAGGCTTATCGACTTTTGACATAACTGAAATTTGCGCCACTTGCACGCTCATAGAGCGTCCGGATTCAAACTCCACCCGGCCCTCGCGGCAAACATTCAATGCGACATCCACCACATCCTTAAAATTATTAGAATGAGCGCGCAAGATCTCAGTCTGATCTGGGGCCCCTCCAAACTAGTGCGGCGCTAACCCTGTTACGAAGGGTCTGACGCCATTGTGACAACTAGCGTATTCAACTTCTGGACACAGTATGCTGCGTTTTGTTTTTAGACGCTATAAACCGGAGTCATCGCCATCGCAATTTCTTTATTGAGCAAAATTGGATTTTTCGCCCCTTGACTGAAAGGGCTGGACCCTTAGCGCTGGCGGTCTCATTGTGGAATCCATTTGTGCCCGTACTGATGCTCAATCAGGGTACTCCTAGTAATGATTTTCAATGCACTGTCACAGCTGGTGAGCGCATTCAGATGAGTAACGACCTCTTCGGCCCTTTAACTGCTAACTTCGTGGTCTTATTGAAACCAACGTCAAACATGAGCTTACGCAGCTTGACTAGCTGTCCCCGGGCAGATCAGCACACAGATCATGAACTATCCTCACAGAAAATACAGTACTCGGTTGCCAATTTGACTACAAGTGATACAACTGCACGGCATTTAGCTTCACCCCATGCAGATGAAGTTTTGACACGACAAAGAAAATATTTATACAGCCCTCAGAGGTTGAGTTTATACGCTCTAACCGCAAGCAAAGTTGATAGTCTTTGAGCTGACCGAGTACTCAATTCGCTCTGCAATTTATATAGTAGCAAGTGTTTGTTTGTTCGAAGTAAGGCGAAGAGTCCACGAAGACTTTAGACCTATCTCTTACGAAGTTCTATCATATTCAACCGATACTTAAGTACTGCAAGAGATTTATATTTGCACAGAGGTGTAACGTGAGTTTCGTACAGTTGTATGATATTGAGGTTTGAGCAATCGTGAAGTCTATGGTGAACATATACAAGCACCGTACTTCAATGAAGGTTCAAAGAGGTTTAGGTTTTGGACGCTTGCAAATTCACGCATAGGGGCAAAAGCAAAGCCTTCATTATACACAGAATTTTGTACTATAGCCACAAGAGTATTCGCTTGAAAACAATCTCACACCCTCTATGAGTCTCATTGAGATTCGACAAGAACAAGTGCTGGCGAAGAAGAAGAGATTGCATCACGCGATTGATGTCAGCACAACATTTGTGGGAAGTGAGTTATCTTTCACGCTTCTCGGTCGCTGAGTCGCTAGCTGGGCTACTTCTTGTGCCCAATTGAGTGAAGAATTGTATATAATACATCAAACCTAAATGATGTCTGAATGCGGTCGGTATAGACTCTCCGCAAAAACAATTGGCTTGCGGAATCTTAAAAAAATAGACCAACTCTAAATTTGGTAATTATTTTATGCTCGCAAATTGATTGCAGATCAAATTGGTTTGATAAGACAAAACTGTTTTCGGGCTTGAATCCGCATCATTTTTATCTTAATGCGAAGCCGTTGAGCCGTGAAGCGCCATTCACTTGGATCCCTACGCTGCCATGAGTTAGGTGCCGTGTAGCAACCCGTTACACTCAGTAGCACATGTGGTCAAACCAAAATTTATGTCTACGCGGGTGTGGTGATAATAATTGGTCTGAATATAAGCTGGATCAGTTTGAGCTTATCTGTACACAACATTTACGATGATTCCGGACTGGACACAGTGAGCACTTACGGAACAGATACACTTGGAAGTTTGGTGACATTATTGTGGTCGTCAATAGGGGTGCATGAAAGTCATGCAGCGTGAAGGTATTTACTTAAAGAGAGCTTTCGAAGGCGAGGAACGCAGGACTAGTTAAACGGTGAGTGCACGGGGAGTGAAACTATATGAGAAGCCCGATAGCCTCGAGTGCGACAAACAAGATTCTCTCGTTGTCGCAAGAAACCGTGACATACCAGTCGGTCTCAATGAGGCTCGTATTACTGAAGTATATGAGTCCCTTATAGCCTGGCTGTATTGTTCAAGAATTTGAGAATACGAAAATATTTATGAATTTATGAATAAGTGCGGCTTAATCTGGGTATGAATGTCCGGATATATCGGATTTGCAACTAATGTCTAATGCCCCGTTTCACAAGTTCTTGATGATTCGTATCCTCACTCCTGTCACACAGAGGGCCTATAACGGTGTCACAATGGTGTAAAAACGTCAGAGGTAATGTGGATGGTATCATTCTAGGTAGGGCTTTGTGGTTTTAACGCATCCACGACAAAGTATACAAAAGAATTGCCGAAAAGACTTATGATCGCGTTAGCTGATTGGAATCTCTCGCTGGTAACTCTAGACTTGGGCAGACCACGCAGACCCTACTGCAGAGAAATGTTTGGAATATTACCTCTTGTGTGTCAGAAAAGCTCCACACCAAGCTTTTCATGGCCTGCCCCAAAAGCTTATTTTGTTGGAGGAGAGGCACATAAGCTACTCCCAGTGTGGTTAACATGGTAACAAACTTTATCGTGGTCACAGACATGCCATGACATATTGTCTATGCTAAACTTATAGAGGATTAAACATGCATCCCTTGAGTAAGCCCAAGAGTGTAACACACACAGTGTGGTTAACCGAAGGTTGAACAGGCCAAACATGTTACCCCCGTGGCAACACTAGAAGTAGCTATTAGCGAGCCGATTTGAGCGAATTATTAACCTAGCGGTTAAGGCGATAGACTCGAAATCTATTGGGGTAACCCGCGTGAGTTCAAGTCTCACAGCTGTCGAGTGACATTCAATGCTAGCATTGCGTATGGTTTAAAATTTGTCTGCATAAGAAGCTAAAGAATTTTCACAAGGTTTGAACGAGGAAGTGCTTAAGACTGCGAGTTGTGTAAATTCGCTCACTAAATGTGTTTGCCTCAATTTGGAAGGACGCTGCGGCAGGCACCTCCGTATTGAATATGCAAAGGGGCGTCCGAGATGTATATAAATACACATGTCACTGCTGTGTCAGTCGACAAGTTTGAAAGCAGGGTAAATGACAAAAGAAGCGGGCCTGAAGATTTTGGACCACGAACGACCAAGATGCAACGCGATTTCTATTTTTATTGATTTGTTGTATCATCGACAGCGTGACGAGACATCACCTGAGAGCAGACATTAGTAAGTTTAAAGGAATAAAAGAGCTGTCAGATATGCTTAAGCTCCGGAAACTCAAACAGATTCGGGTCGATCTCAAGGTGAAATTTTTCGTTCTAGTTCTTTGGACCACTTTAGAAGGCCTCATATACTATCGTAAATCAGTTCTAAAGACGGCGTGAGACGCGGTTAATATTGGCACCTCTAGAAACTACAAAGAAGTCGGTGTATCTAATACCAATGAAGTACACACACGTAATTTCAAAAAATTCATTCACGAGATAGGAAGTCGAGATCTCGTGCTAGTCGCATTGTGCTGTGTCAAGAAACGATGTAAAGTGATGAATGCCTTGTTTGCCGAGCAGGCGATCGGGGGTCGCTGCGGGAGTCATCTTTCATTGCAGGTTTTGCAGATTTTAACGCGACTTTGAATAGAAAGTGACGATTATTTCAAGCTCACAATAAGCAGTAGAGTGCCACCATATTGGCGGAGATATCAATCGATAAAAAACGTTTTGGTGAACAAAACTCCCGGATGCACCACCGTACCCCCTCTGTTTTACCAGCCCTGACGATTTTGCTGGCTCTTTATCACTCCTACATGGAAGTGAGTCTCTTTTTACCTATCGAGTAGAGTTGTGGAGGACGGCCCCACAGCTGGCTCTCGTGGTCACTATTGGTTATGACTGCCTGTCGACTATCTCCGAGAGTCTCAGTGCGCTGTAGCTATTTTGGATGCGGACTCTGAGCTACGTCATCGTACGGGGTCCTTGAGGTATACAAGGCGGTTCAATACGGTATTGCTGACCTTGGATGTAAGGTAGCTCAGCTGCAGGGGATGGTCGAGATTCTGTTTGGTCTTCAACTGAGAGCTTACATATACATATGATGGATTTTAGGATCGTGATAGTAACATGGCTCAAACAGGTCAGCGAAGAGCACTAGAATGGTTTGCATTCTCTTTGAAGTGGCTCAATAGTTTTTGGATAGAACTGTAAGCGGCCCGATTTAGCAAGATCACAACTTAAAACTTCAGAAACTTCCGGCTAATGGCGCTAAATAGAACTTCTTTGCCCACAACATGTATTGTTTCCACTGCATGTGCTTTGCAAAGAATGAATCCTAGTCATATCGTCGACACTCAATGCCGGTGTTACTAGTTGCGCCTTTCGAAGGATCAACAGTAAAGTTCAACTACATGAGCTGCCAGCATTCTGCTGGAAACGGCTGAATGGGCGCCGACACGTGTGTACATAAGTACATTGCCATTTACACAGGTTGGGCCACCAGAGCATAGCGCCCACAGTGAGGAATGTCTCTTTTTTCTCTTCTGCCTCGTTCAGTATCATTCAAACGAGGCTCTCATTATGAGGTATCATCGCTTGTTGAGACTCAGGTGGGTCAGCGCTGTCAAACAGCAAGCGTTAGGGTAGAAAATAGGGGTGCAATTCATGTAATCAAGTCTCCTACAACACAGCATCGAAGGTTAAAACCCCCATGCTTCCCAAAGCCTTCGACGATGCAGGTGATATTGTATCTGACCCGTACGATCTAGATATCGTCTCTTCAATGCGCGAGATCACCGTCGTGACATGCGACGACGTTCAAAAGAGCATCCATCAAGACAACAAGCGGATCCGGTCAATACATACTATGAAGATATACTCAGCAAAGAAAAAAAACCATATGGCAATTATCGTCATGTGATATAGTGACGACATCGCTAAGCGCAACGGCTCATGTTCTGAATAGATCACAGTTCGACTTGAGCCAAATCCAGTGTACCTTGAATTTGTAAAAAACGTACTTGATAGCAAATTTTCCCTTATTATGAACGGAGTACCTCAACTCAGCGGCTTTTAGACGACGAGACTCAGACGTGATCATTTATGCCAGTCAGCAGTAAACGTGGTCTTAAGCATAGGCCGACTAGGCCGATACACGTTAAGGACCTAATTTAGGGCACTCATGAGACTTTCTTTTACAGTCTCGATAGCCACTTTTCCGCCACCCCCATCACTATTTGGCAATCTTTTGAAGACAATTGTTGAAATGACGCGCTATGTCTGCATGTTTGCACTATAGTTGTGCAGGTACTTAATCAGGTCACTTTTATGAGTCCCTTTGATAGAGCAGCATTTAGGGCAGTCTTGATCTTCACGAATATTTACCTCCCAGCGAATAAAGCAAATCTAGATTAGCATCCCCGGACACTTGTCTATATTGGCAAACAGTATGAACAGGCACATACACACGAGTGCCAAACGTAAATGTTAGATGTGGATTTCCACATCAGATTCCTCGTACTCTGCGCGACTATAGTCAAATATATCGTTTATATACTTTTGCGCACAGGCCTTATCAGCTGCTTTACCAGACTGTTAACCGTAGCTAGTGCGTTAGAGAGTTCAAGGGATATTATTGGCCTGAAAACCGACTACGTTCAGATAAATGTAATTGCCTCTTATAAGTGTTTAATTATATCCATCAACTAGGTCGAGGGCACTGAAAAAAGTGCCAACAATGCTGTTCAGCAACACGTTCTTCGTAGGGATTAATTCTTGCTTTGATGAATTGGACATATTAAGACAACTAAGTTCAATTTGCCACACGTCAGTAGCTTTCTTGACGCACATTCTTATCAATCCCACTTTTGCGTTCCAGAGAAGAAAGTGTTAGTGACGTCACACTGTCATATGGCAAAACCCATACACGCCATGATGTTTATTCAGTATAGAATAAAAAGGCTCGTTGAATTCTGAATATAGCCATCCCAAACCTCGCACTTAGCGTTTGGCAATTGTCCACGATATTGGATTCAGCCATGACGGATAATATTCGTATCCTCCCGTCATGACCGGACCACGCAACTCTAATCACTCCTTATGAAACTAAACCAGCAAAAGCTCAATGATATATCTGCCTGGAAGTGAGGGCAAATTTTACATATCTCAGACCTTCCCTTGATCACTTCACTCACAAATAAATCGTCCCAATCCCGGAGTTTCACTGCCCCGAACGACGGGCGCAATACGTGGTAGTAAGAGCAACCACCTGTTATGAAGTGAGGGCTTAGCCCTTTTACTGGCGACTTATAGCTGCCTTTGGCTATCGACTCGTGTCAGGGGATTGCAGCAGTATGATATTGATCACGATCTGAACACTTCGTCACCCAGTCGTTAAAAGTCAAACATTTAAGGAATATTGAATTTGAAATATATCAGTTAGAAATTATAGCATTTTAGCTTGTGGTGAACGTGAAGATGATTGTTGTAGCGAATATTAGATAATACTATTTTCCGCTAGTGTGGCGCACCTCAATCATCGAGACGATGGATGCAGAAAGCACCAGGGATCAACAAAAGCGCGCGGCGGAGGATAGTAATGAGGAGCGTTTGGCCAAGCAGATGCGCATGGACACTAGAAATTCTAGCAGCGCTTCAAATATGGACGCGATGGCCATTTCGCAAGCCATAACTGGTATTTCACAGCAGCAGAACAATCTTTATTTCGGGGAATCAAATCCTACGGCGCCGCAATCAATTCAGCTGCCTGTGCAACAGTCTTTGGAATCAATGGGCTTAAGCGTGCCAAAAAATCAAGCACAATACATGCAAATGCAGATACAACAGCGTCAGCAACAGCAACAATACGCAGCGGCCTTGGCAGGTGCGGTTAGAGCTTTCTTGCACAGATACCTTATATTTGATATATTTCTGTACATCATTCCAGCTCGACACAGCGCCCAGCATCAGCAGCAGCGCCAATACCAAGCCGCCACAACAACACCGATGGTAAATCAACAAAGTGATCCTTCCGTTGCAAATTACCAATCCCAGATGTATGCGGATACTGGGACAAACATTCACGTGGTGTCAGTAGTGGGCCCCCAAGATGAAAATACTTCGGCTATATCAGTCAGTGGAGCCTCCGTTCAACCTCAGCAGTCGTCAGAGACGCAAATTTTTCCGCAACAAGAAAATGCCGACAATAGCGCTACATCTTTCACATCACAGCCATCCATTGCTCCTGGAATACATGTATCACTAAAGAACAGTACAGAGACTTGCTATCTTTGCGGAAAAAGTGGTGATACATTTACGTGCAATGGTGGTTGCGGTCTTCATGTACACCCGGCGTGTATCGGTAAAGATGCGATTTTTCCGTTTGTGGGTAAAGTATGCTTTCTATACAAAGTATGTATATTACAAAAATTACGAGCTAATGCTTGGTCGTGGAACGCTCAGTTGGACAACTCTGCGGAAGCTGCTTTATTGTGCAGCAGAATCGGGCATCCCCTGAAGATTTGACAAAGGGAGGACCACACGCACTATCAGTAGGCTGCAAGCGCTCCGTCAATTTGATCACTTAATTATTGAAGCCTTATACTCTGGTGCGATGGGGCAAAAATGACAGGTGCGAAGAGCGATTCTGTGCGTTAATTTGGAAACCAACAGCAACGCGAATTTTGATAAATTTGGTCATTTAGCGTCGTTGCGACTGGGAGAAATTGGCTCGGTGAGTGCTGACCACTGTTAAGGTTGCAGCAATGAATGATAGATGTGATTTCTGTCGTTTAGATTGCTGGCTACCCCGTCAAGCCATTTGCTGAAAAGTTTGTCGAACCCTATTTGCAGCGATGGATGCGTGAAAAACTTGCAGCGGCGGACAAGTGGATGCTAAATGTTCGCGAGATTTTTACCGTGATGATAGGGCTTTACAGGTGCTTTTGCAGTTCACATGACTAAACATATCATGTACTTAGTCTGTATGAAAACGTATAGCTTGAAGAGGGCATGCATTGCCCATGGCTTACACGACAAAGTGATCAGTCTGATGAAATCTCGCAAATTTACAGTGACGGATTTCTTTGGGTGGCATCCCGCTGTCGAAACCCCTAATGTCCGTTGCTCGAGTTTATGTGCTATCTGCGGAATTCGCAACAATCCTGAGGTCGACGTTTGCTCGCGCTGTCATCACAAACTTGTTTTTCCATCTGTCTTTACAAAGTATATTAGCACGCTCCTTGCAGCTTTCTATGCCGGTACAAGATGCTCAAAATTTCTTTTATTTTCCACATAAGCATGATTAAACAGCCATTTGGTTATACTACGTAGAGCAAGTCGGAATACCGCTTGGGGCTTCCTCACTGGATGTGTTTGCGCACACGCAAACAGTTCGAGGATTATACAAGGGACTCAACCCGTTTGATGCTGATGGTGTCAATTGGGATCTTTTTACTGATCAGTTAAGTATAGCGTTTTTAGCTGCTGTGGATGTTGATTGTCTAATCACAATCTATTCGATTGACCTGAATGTTTACAGATTGCGAATGATATTTGGGCTTCTCGATATAATGAGCAACTTCGGAACATTGCAGCTTAAGCCCGCACTGTTCATACCAGAGACCAACATTATTTTTAACGCCGCATATGTAAATCAAGCGATGATTACTAATGAATTTGAAGTTGTCGGTAAGTTTTTGCAATGCATGAAGTTATTCGGCCGTGAAAAAAGCGAGGAGAATAAAAATATGATCGAGTCTTGCGAGCGATACTTGCTCTTCAAGCATCTTCCGGATGGGAGCTGGTGCAAGATGAATGGGTCAACGGTTGACCAGTACAAGGCCACAGTCACTTGCTCGAAGTAAGCGGTGGACAATAATTGCTGCACAAATGGGTGACTGAGGCAAACTTTGTGCGTGTAGGGCCCTGCTCACGCCTGCTTTTCGTGGATACGGTCCAGAATCGAATGATTTCCTTCGACTTCTTGAGAAGTGGTCTCGCAATGCGTCTCCAGCCAAACAATCCGCAGATAGCACCGATCTCAAAATACTAGCCTCTGGAGCTGTTGTAAAGAGAAACACGCTTACCAGATTCAAACGTTTTGAGGCAATGTATCAGGTGAGTGAGGTGATTTATTATTTCAAAATCAAAAGTTTAAATCATTGCCTATGATGTCAGCGGCAAGTTGCTCCAAAGGGAAGTAGCTTTTCCTTAGAATCTCTTATAACCAATAGAATGCAACGCATTTTGAAGTCAAAGGTATCGTCTTTTACAGTTTAGCTGGTATCAATATCAACGCTAACTTTAGTCATTTGTTTTGAATTCTAGGAGGCTGAAGCCCAACTACGTAAAGGTAAGTTTGTCAATGCACATGCATATATACAAGAAAACGAGATGGCTTATTACCGCGGCAAAACAGATAGAACGAGTGGCAAAGAAGAGGGATTTGGTGATGGTATGACGGATACGGAGGACGTTAAAATTGAAAATCAGACATTACTTCGAAATGGAACGAATGATGCTACTGGCAGAAATGACCAGGATGATGATGACATGCTTACAAGCATGAGTCTCCACGAGGATCTCGAGATCTTCGATGGTCTTCAATTTGAAGATGGCGGCGGCATCATTGACATGAGCTTTCAGTCACTTGGATCTCATGAGGTCGCTGAAAATGAAAGCGGCGAGCATAATTACATGGGAGCTGACAGTACCGATGCACAGCAGGGGGAGGATGAAACAACAATGAACGAAGAGATGGTCGACGACGACGACGACGAAAATGACGATAGCAAGAGTCAAGATGCGGATGGAGAAGTGCATCAATCAGAGGCACATTCATCCACAGCAGAGAAAAATGCTGGCAGTGTTGAAGCTACCACCGATTTTCTAGTATTGTAACCGCGGCCTTTCTCCAATTTACAATGTTGCCTGTGAAACAGCTCACAGCAAGCCAATCATTTGATCTAAAGCGTTAACACCCGGTTTTCTACAAGTAATCGGGGATTGGGCTCTGCGTCGGCTTTCAGCCAACTCTTCATCACTCAGCTCCAGATATGACTGCAATCCTTCCCACGCTGCTCGAGACTGCCATCGAAGCAATGATTCAGGATGAGCTATAAGTAATTAGAAGCTGGTGCTACTGATTATCCCACCTGAACGTGATAATCTAGCTCCAGATTCGCCATCGAGAGTAAAGCCGTTTTAAGCTTCGCAGTCTTTCCTGTGTCCATTCTCTTGGTTTCTACCTTCAAACTAGTAGCGATGAACTGGACTTGTTCCTTTGCTACATTCATGCGATCTTCCGCCTACGCAAAATTCAAAATTTGCACTAAGCCATAATGTCCAATCCATGCCTGAATTTTAACAAACCGAAGCCATTTTTTGCTCTGCTCGCATAGCGGATGCCGCTGCTCCGCTACTTGCCCGTGCGGCCGCAAATCGTTCTTTATTGCGCTGCATACTAGCATTTGCTTGCTGGACTTCACATATTGCGGACTCCCGATTGTGCATAACAGTCTACGCACATACACGACACACAATTGTCAGAATTGTGAGTTCAGTCGACGAATACTCTCGAGTCTCGCACCTTAACAGCATCAACTTTGCCTGCCTGATACCTGATGACTGATACGTACATGGACAACAGCTTGTCCAGCTTAACAAATAGTGTTTCAGGTCCTCATTTCACAAATCGTATGTTCACTCAGATTTCTCATACCTGGTCCTGATATATGTTAGAAACTGTCTCAAAGTGGTCGCCAGCGACCTGATCATATCACGTCACGCAGAAAATCAGTAGTGATTAAAAAATCGGTCCAGCCTTATATACCTCAGCAAGTTGCTTCATGTCATGATCTCTTTTCTCGTGCTCCGACAAGGCCGACAAATAACTGCCAAAGCGTGACATTTCGTATCCTTCACTGCGCTGTGCAGCATAAACAACGTCTGAGCAGCGCGTCACTTCTCGTATTCGTTTCTCGTATTCGTCTATGTGCAAGCCAATCTAGGCAAATAAATGTGCAATTCAATCACATCATCTAGTATATCACCCCGATACAGCACTCACTCTTGCATAGTCATCGTCAGTTTTAATTTCGACTTGCTGAACCCTCGACGACAAGAAAGCGCCGTCCTTTAAAGAGCTCCATAGCGAGCTCACCGAATCAGGCGTTGGTACATACGCGGCAGCAATTGATGCCACTTTTAAAAGGTCCTTCCCCGCGATAAGACCCTGGATCGCAACGGACTTGTAAGCTCTACCAATCTTTCCACCACCTTAAATTTTTGTAAGAACCTTGCACACACCTCTGTACTAGCAGTAAGCATAATTTGCAACTCCAGAGTCTGAGACAGCTTTTCATGGCTGCAAACTTCATTCTACAACATACTTTTAGATTAAAAAAATGCAATACCCAAGACTGCCCCATAAACACATTTGTGACACTTACGATAAAGTGCTCTAAGGCTTGCCGACGTTCTTCGACAAATGTTGCGTCCATGTTCCCAGTCCATCGTTTTTCTGGGAGGGGAGGTATGATAGTACCTATAACATAAGTGTGTCAGTTGCAGCTGTATAATTAACAGCTTAGAGATGTAACCTCGAAAGTGCATTTGCAATCGCTGCTGGAGCCATTCAAAGTCACTAAACCTTCGCTTGACTTGCGCAGAAGAGCACGGAAAGTTTAAGCAGTTAGTCTATACTCGATTAACCAATCAACAACAGTGATTAAGCCGTAGCTATAGCAAACAGTGAACAACTTGCTTAACGTCTCACCTTTGTCGATATTACATACTGCGTATAACGAGAATACCCTGATCCAACAATGACTGGCGTGCTCACAGTCACCTCAAAACATCGCTTAATGTTAAGTGCTGTCTCTTCCGGCAGCTACACAATCGCCACCAATAGAAAAGCTTAAGTGTGCGTCCCATGAACTCTACTTCTGACATTTACTTTACCACATTGTCAACCGGTTGCTCAAGTTGAAAGTCGGCCAGCGGCAGAGCATCTCCCGAGTAGAGACTTTGCATCTGGCACTTGCCGGTACTTTGAACCAGCGCCACGAGTTTCATTGCCACAAACCAGCAATCCTTATTTAACTTTTCTTGCGACTTTCCTCCACTCGACAGTCGCCAAATCTGATCATAGCACGCTTCAGTTCAGTCCCATCTCCGTTACCTTTAACGACACTTGTTAGCGTTCAATACCTCTCGGTTGGCATCATTCATCAATTTCGCACGTCGAATGAATGCAGCACCTTCCGCGCCTCCAATATAACCATCTGCATTCGTGTCCACCTTACGCAGCAGATTAAGAGGTTACAAGAAGACATTCTCACAAACTGTCAACGGCACTTAACAACACACAATATGAAAAAGTCTGGAATAAAGAACGCCTTCTTCACTTCGAAATTTAATGGGTCCATTGACAAACGCAATGTCAAATTCGCCGCTGCTACTGCTTGTCGAAGAGCGACCCATGCTTAGCATTATATCGTAAATGCAATGTTCTATATTCAGTTCAATAGCCTGAAATAGCGTGTCCCACTTCATTATACACGACATACTCGAAAATGACTTCAGTTTAGATTTCGAGCTCAAGCAGATAATTGCTCACTATGCGCATCCAATTGCGCGACAACTCGCTCGGCAATCCTAACTCGATTCCAGAAACAATTTTGAGCGACATACCGGCCAACGAGCGTCGTTTTCGAAAAAAACGCAGGTCGCGTCGGCGCATGAGAATTTCCAAGGAGTGCGTCGCGCTTATCACTTTCTCGAGATATATACACTTATTTTTGATATATACTATATAGATCCATGAACCGTCTGGTGATGAACTTTCTTGTCGGAAAGGGATACCGAGAGGTGGCTGAAGCCTTCTGGCGTGACTCAGGCACTAAGCGTGGGTATTTTTATAACTCTTTTTGATGACAACGAACTTCAACTTGATGGTTTTGGATAGCCCACGTCGATTTGCAGTCGGTGCAGGATCGCATGAGTATTCAGCAGCTATTGCTTAAAGGCCACATACAAGAAGCGCGTGATAAGTTGTCTGGCATGATCTCAGACTTTTTCGAAAAAAACAGCTGGATAGATTTTCTTCTGGCCAAACAAGAGCTGATTGAGTTGATCAAGGTTCACAATATCGAAGAGGCGCTGCAATTTGCCGTAAAGAATCTTGCGCCGTTTGGTCAAAAGAGTGTAAGCTGATAAGGTTTATGTTTAGAAGAATGAAAGTACTTAATACTATGCTATGGATGTTTGATCTACAGCCCCACTTCTTACAAGAAATTGAGCGGACAATGTCCGTTATTGCTTTCAAAAGCCCATTGGAGTCACCGCTTGGCCATTTATTGGAACAGACACAGCGCCGCCGAGTGGCGGACGAGGTGAATTCTGCTATTTTACGAAGCCAAAAGGAAGAGCTTGGTAAGTTTTTCAAATGACGGTTTGTAGGATAAGTAAGTACTCGAATGTTTACTTGATTACGACTGGGTGTCATCACAGAGCCCCTGCTGCCTTCGATGGTCCAGCACTTTCATTACATGGAGGATCAATTGGAAGCCAAGCTCAGTCGTCATCCGCGTGGTATATCGATTGACGACCCACCATGTCAGCATTAATGGCGAATGATCTACACATCTCTACTTGCCAAATCCGTGGATCCTATACGTGTTACAAATTACGAAATCTGTCGAATTACGTTAAATTATCGAGACAAAAGGTGCTTTAGTCAATCTGCATTACTCCTCAATTCCTTCATAAAGTTGCTCGATAATTACCAATCGTCTAGTCAGCGGCCTTGCACCGTACGGAAACAGTTGTGCAGCCACAAGGCGATCGATCTCCAGTCGCAGGCGAATAAGTATGCTCACTACACCGTTAAGTCGGTCAACAGTCTGCAACTTTCGCCTACTCATATCCCAATGTGTGCTAAGCCGCCGAAGGTATCGCATTAAATACTCAAGCATTTGAGTCTCTGAAAGAAGCAGAGATGTTTATAAGAGACTCAATTATCTATGCAGGCCGAAAATAAAAAATACCATTTGAGATGAGAAGGTCCAAAAGAACACGATGATCCCATCCAAGAGTGTCAACTAGGTCAGCAAATAGTAAGTCTTGATTATACTCGTCTGCCATGTGGGCCATAAGTTGGGAATAATTTTGAGCACGAAGGTCGCGAATACTGTCAAGGCCATCCGCCATCCGTGCGACGTTATTAAGAAATTCTATCATCACGTCGTCTTGCTCAGCAAGAACCTTAAAAAGTTGCTGCCTGTTTGGTAGCTGGCGCTGAAGACACGAATCAAATTCTGGATTTGCCGCCTGAAACTTGCAGCCTGAACATTCTAACTGAGTAAGAGTAGTCTTTATAAAGGCCGTACCCATTCGACTTAGAAAAAGCAGCCACTTCTGCAGAAAAGGGTAGACATTTGAATTTGAAATGAACGCTTCACAGCTTGCAGTACTTATATACTTTCTTTCACCATGCAGCTGCAATGCCGTTGCTGCGCAGGATGACTCTTTTAACCACGTCAAACACTGTCCAAGCCACTTCTGGTATCTCTCTCTCACACTTTTCCCTTGGTAAACTTTTGTTTGAGTATCCCATAGATCCCCTAGCTTTAAAAATGAGCCAAGAAGACCAAGGATTACGCATGATACATATGTCGGCTGTGAGCAAAAAGCCATTTTCACAAATACATCGTTCAGAAGCATCGTCATCAGTCCAATTAGCTTAACTTGACAAGGTCCTGAGATATTTGTGTACTGAAGCGACTTTAAACAGTCATTGATAAAAAGTAAACATTCGTACTGAACTGAGTGAAGGATAGATTCACTCATGTCCTCCGCCGGTGAAAAAACCGCACGCACCATTGCCTCAATCTGTACCAAATTCTGAAACAATGACTTCGGATACGGAAAATCATGTGAATGGTCCCAACTATCGAGGCTGTGGTTTTCTAGACTGTTTTCCTTCGTAGATACACTTTCCTTATGAACTTTGATTTTGATAAGGTGCCGCAGCAATTGAAATCGATATCCATTTCGCCAAGCAGTAGGCAAAGTCATAAGAATAGAACTATTTTAACGCCAAAAGTTAATAAATGCATTAGCAACTACTATTTGATCGTTCTAGATTTTGCATCCAACTGCAGTATCTTACTAGATAACGTCGTGATATGTTGCAACTTTACCGCTTACAACGAGCTTCCAGATATCCTCCTTTGCGGCATAGGCCACAAGTATATCCTCGTGGTCTAAATATCTAAGCAGCTCCGTCAGACCATCTCTTGATACTTCATTGCCAACTTGAAGCGAAGTTGAGTACGCCGCAATGCGACAAGTTGTTCTGTACCACTCCGCAGAATTTGTCCATAAATTCGAGATGTCATTTTGGTGTTTTTGGGTCATTCTACTACTGTTACTCTTCTGAGGGACATCGAAGCCACATATTCTTAAATCGAAGAATGAGATTTATTGCAAGAAAAGCAAAGAAAGTGTTTTGAGCGTCTGAGCTGTCTGTCTAAAGACTAACACGCCTATAGAACGTTCCCAGAAGAGATCACTCGAACATGGAGCGCTGAACATTGATCTCAATTGTGCTTTCACGTACATCGTGAATCAAAACTCGCTTCTTTTATCAATATCGCTAGAGCATTTTGATTTTTTTCTATTGAAGTCAACTTGTTTTGATACCGCTTATTTACCCCACACCGTTTTTAGTGCAGCTTAAATATCGATCAGACATAGCTCAAAGCTGCCAATATGAGTCAAGCATGGGCATTATGTAATGTCGCACGTCACATTGCACACCAGTAAGAACACGTGATCACTTTGCAAAGGTCCAACGCAGTAGCTATCCACCACTATGCCGTGGCCGGAACCTACCATACTTACCAAAGCTGCGCTTTTACTCGTACTTAATAATCGAACTCTGATTTGCTAAGTTATTTATATTACTGATAAAGAGAGGCATGGGAGCGAGTAAGTTGTCGTGAGGTGGATCAGTTTGATTTCTGGGCGGCTTTGTAACAAGGTAATTGAGACCCGACCATTTCAGCAAAGCTGTTTGAAATCGTCATCATTTGGGATTAGAACTTCTAGGAAGAATTAATCCCACACCTGAATTAGTTGTTATATCTACCTCTTCGTTTATATTAATTTTGTACCCTTACGGTAATTTTATAATTATAATCGTATTTAGGACTACTACTTAAAAATTGCTAAATAGCGTTATCAACCTATTTCGTGAGATTGTGCTTAATTGTTGCATTCTTCAAATATACGACACCAAATGCACTTTTCCAATAAGACAATTAAAAAGTTCTAAAAAAACACTGACCAGCTACCAAATGGGGTACGTCCTGTGTTGTGGTGTACGCACTATTCGCTTTATTGTCACTGTAATCTTTTAGACAGAAAGCCAAGCTTAGAAATACCAGAATAGAATATCATGATGACTTGTCGTTATTCGTGCTGATAAGGATGATGGTGATGCGGCTTCGTTCAGGAGGGTTCCGCGAAACAATAGCCTCACGCTATGCAATACACTAAATTTTATATTAGTAGCTAGTAAGACAGTAATATTTATCATGATTATGAGCCAGACGTTATTGTAAATATGTCCTTTTAAGTATAGTGCAGAAATAACATTGTTACTAGATCGGCTCTGCATTGATCAACTTAATCATACAGAGTCAAATATTTGTTTTTGGGGCATTTAAGGCAATCCCGTTGCATTTGGAGGGACCACCAGCTATGAAATAAAATAGTGGGACACCTTCAAAAATGCCTCCGGGTCGGTGGGAGGCAATAAATTCACAAAGACCACCAAAAGCGTTCTGCTTTCTAGAAGCGATATATTTATGACTTTCCGAACTTTTATCAGGAGTGCATGGAACACAACATTTCCGGATTTTGATCGATTCATGGCTTTTGGCGTTTGATCCACGTCATACCTAGGATGAGATCGTATCTCGAAGTAAGAGGTATTATCAACACCTTGGTCATTGTCTTTCGTCAAAAGACGCGCGAAAAATGATTCGTATGTCCTCCAACTTTGGCATCTTTAACGCTGTAGTATTGTTCTAACAGTCGCGTGTCTGACATAATCGCACGACGGCCACAATCTATCAGTAGTTGTAACAGCTGTACAAAGACGAGGACATTGATGCTGATAGCCATCCACTCAAGACTGTGACCTTCACCTCTTTCTAAAAGGGTAACCTCCACTAGGTCGTGATTCGATTGCCTTTAAATTTACCACAGACAATTAAGCCAGATTTTGTTCTAGTTGATCACCCTGGATTATATGCGCTAGAGCTTACCCTTGCACCACATAACCTGGACAAATGAGAATTACAGGGCGCACATCTATGGAACTGCAGCAGATATAACATTCGTGGGTTCTACAGTCTCGCTCGTTAGCCAAAATATCTCTCTACTTTTCCACCGCCTCAAACTCCCCCACCTCCCATACTTTACCGGTCTTACAAATAAAGGCCATTTAGACTGACCGGTGGTTGTGTCCCGAAAGGCCCCAAGAAATTGAAATGGAGTGGCTAACTACTCGTACAAGTACAAGCTAGATGTGCTGACATGTCACGATCCTACCAAAAACCGACCACTTTTGTTTCCCGCGCATCAATGAGTCCACCACAAGTTTGCTTGAATCTTGAAACCAAAGACTGCATCTGACATCAACGGCCCATACCAAGGGGACCGTTTGACACTTTAGTGGATTTCTTCCGTGCGAAGCACAAAGCAATCGGATGCTACGGAGTCATTTCCGCTACTAGGCGCCGACACTGAAGCATAAAGGCTACCTGCAAATGGCCAATTGGTTAAAATAAGCTATATGCAGCCATTTTCTAAAATAATTTGCTGCAAAATATCATGACCGGCTTCACTTTTCGATGCTCTTGATCTACTCGATGGATAATGTAAACTATTCAGAGAAAAAGCAATTCATTTCTCACTAAAAGTGCTCTGTGAGCGGCTTGTTATGTCACGGATACTGGCTAACACATCATTGCCGTTTTATTGCATAGTTTCGCAGCTATCAGGTCTCATTATGCCTATGCACAAAACTATTTCGACGATACATTCGTCCATAATCGTGATGAGCACGGAATGTGGGATGTGGGAATCATATTTAGCACTTGCGAGCAATATTATGAACAAGTGTGTTTTTGGCGCCAACAAAAAACAATTAATCGGGATCATGAAATGTGGGCAGATCTTGGAACAATCAAGGCCATTGTAAAGAACCAAAACCAGGGCATTAACGAGACCCTCTTCCAGAGCATCGAGGAACACCTATTCTGCTGCAAGTTAGCATGATTTAAAATAAATTTCAAGGTGATTTATGAGTAGCTGAACCATGTCAGCAAAACTGCAAGTGATTATGCCATCAGTTGTGCGTTGATGCAACATGATGATGAGTCGAGAGCGAGTTGTTCCGTATCAGTCGCGACACTTCCGGTCCGCGGAACTATCCAGTTCATGACAAAGAGCTTCTAGCAACGAAGTATGCTTTGGTTATGTTCCATGTATACTTGCTTGGAGAGGAGCGTTTGTGATCTATACAGATCACGCCTCACTGCGTACGGCAGTGGAGACTCGCAAAGAATGGCTCGATGGTTTTCCTGCTTTGCGGAGTACAACTTTGTTGAGCACTACAAGCCAGGCAAGACGACCATCTCAGCCGATGCGTTGCCAAGACGTCCGAGCTATGATCCAAAGTCCAGAAGCGAAAACATGCACTAGTCATGTCGACAATGCGAAGATGTTCAGACGATCAGAGTACAAGTTACGACTACAGTGCACGAAGAAATTGCCGATGGGTACAAGTCTGATGAGACATGTCAGGACTATTTGGGGGTATCTCAAAAAACATTCGACAAAGCACTGCAAGGTCTTCCATCTCACACAAGATCGCGTGTTCACCGTTTTGGGGTACACGACGTTGTGTTATGCGGATGAACACGGGGATATGCAAGAGTTGTTGCTCCAAATGACGAAGGTTTGCCTCTTCGTCTCCTATATGAGTACCATGACAGCCCTTTGATTGGCCATCTTGGACGTGAAAAAACGTGTATCAGTCTTTTTTGGGATTACTATTGGTCACACATGTATAAATGGGTGCGCGAGTATGGAGGACTTGTGAGATTTGCCATAGTGTGACACCATCGGGTTCTCTCTGGCCCCCTGCGCCTGTTTCATGCAAGATCTCTGCCAAAGAGACAATTAAGAACTCTGAACACGTTGGTTTCCGTCTGCTTGGCCTTTCTGTTGAGATCGTGTCTGACCGTGACACCCCCTTTACGTCAAAATTTCGGCGTGCACTTTTTGGACTATTGGGCACCAAATTGTCCATGTCAACAGCGGCACACCCTGAATGGACAGTCAAATAGAGCGTGTGAATCGAGTCCTGGAGGACGTACTGCGTAGTTACGTAACGTCGTTCAAAGAGCGAAGTGAATATCTCCCTTTTGCAGAATTTGCGTTGAACAACTCCACGCAAGTCTCAACAGGTCGTTCACCATTTTATGTGAGCCATGGTATTCATCCTAGAGTACCTGCTTCCATAATGGTCGAGGTCTCTACCCTAAGTGGGGGGAAGTTAGACCTAAACGTTGTCACAAAGATAAAAACGAATTTTGACTCAGCATGACAAGTCGTGAGAAACAGAACGTCAATGACCATATTGCGAAGAGACAAGCCGTTGTTCGATTTGTTCGAGACGCAATTGCGAAAGCTCAGGATCTGCAAAAAGAACAAGCAGGTAAGAGTGGAAGGGGGAAGAGGAAGAGGAAGGTATGTAAGTTCAAAGTTCTCGTACTACTTAGCACGACAAATATGCCTAAACATGCAGTGTCCAACTTTGGAAGCAAGAAGCATTTACCAAGATTTATTGGACCGTTCAAGGTGATGAAATGTAATGGTGATGCGTATACGTTAAACATCCTACATGCATGTGCCTACATCCTACATTTTATGTGGGTAGGCTAACGAGTGGATCTGCCGATCCGACACAACCTTTGGTAGATGATCGAGCTGATCATGTAGTTTCTCCATTTTTCCAAGAAGAACAACTAACTCTTCACTTGGGGAGATTCTTCTTAGCGCACAAGCGTTGAAGGACGTTAAAGGATTGTTCCTTTACTGATTCCAACGCTTGAAGGCGAAAATGGTAGTCACCACGAAGAGTACCTCAAGAACAGAGCCTTCTTCTTCAACAGAGCGCAACAGGTTTTCGTTAGCCATCTCACGAGATTTCTCGTCCTTCCGGAGTCAAACGAGTTCATCATAAACCTTCAGAAACCGTAGTTTAAAACAGGACTCCAAAAGCCGGGCATTGGGCGGAACTATCAGTCAGAGTGTCGAGTTTCGAGTTCTGCTCTGCAACAAGGTTCGAAAGGCTCTCGCAGCGATCTTCAAGTGTCGAGCAACGATTGCAATGCCTCAATTTCCTCCGCGATGAGCGCTCTTCAACCTCCAGAGTCTCTCAATCGTTTCCAAGTCCAATTCCACCTCCGCTATTAGACTCTCGTGGAGAGCGTCGCTGCGTGGTTGAGATGATCGTCGATCACGAGGATCGATCGACTTGTCATCATGGAAAGAAGCAGTTGAACCAATAATGCTTCTACAGAGTTTGGTTGCGCGGCTATCCATCAGTATCAGACACGTGGGAACCTCGTCAGGTCTTGGAGTCTGATGTTTCCGACATGGTCGGCAGCTTTGAGAATCGCTTGTAGTGCAACACTACGACGACCAGAGCTTCGTTGCGCTCGGTCATGACTGGGAGTTCTGCCAGCGACGACTCAGCAATGATGACGCTCCATTTTAATCTCGTTATCAAGGCGAACACATGTCCACTAAGAGTCAAGCCCAGCTGCGATAGGCTGGGTCGGATCATCACGGTCGTCGATCCGACGCCAACGAAAAAAAATGTTCCATATATAACCTCTTGTCTCCATTACGGTTAAAAATGGAGGAAACGTCAATGAGTTTTTTGCCGTTTAGGTGAAGAACGCTCTTTCATGCTGGCTTGTTCACAAATCGCTTCATTGTTCATCGGAAAGTGAGCTGTTTAAAAATCAGCAAAAGTATCAAAATACTTTTGACTTTCAGGAGTGGATGATGTCATGGGCTACTCTTAGCCATTACATGAAGATACAGAAAGTAATGCATTATTGACATCAATAACGAAGATCATAATTCCAAATGCATACGTGATTTCTTATATGAAGTCGCAAACATTCTGTGTGATACAGAATGCTGGTTTCTACTTGGGGATCTGTACTGGTGACGAGACCGACGTGTCTCTGTCTTTAGAAGTGGGTAATCCCTTCTACTGGATATCTTTTACTAAAGTTGAAATTCAAGCTTTCAAAATCCAAGCCCCGCACACCCAAGGTATTTTATTAGTTGAAGCTGAGGTTCAGCCTCAGTACACGCTTGATTAATAAAATAGAAGCCCAATGTTTATATGTAAAACTTCTGGAAGCCCTCAGAGTATTTTGCACGTAGCTAGGAGCCAAAACTTCTAAATTCAGTTAAAAATTTGTCTCAAAGGACTTAAGTCGTTCTTCTTCCTTGGGATTGTCCTTCTTTCTCCACGTTAAGCGCTTCCATGTCGCACAAACGTGTATGTTGTGCTTGAGGGACTGTTTGTGAACAGCGCCCTCTTACACGTAGTACGTAAAATTGATGGAGCTTTTCTGTCGAGCATTTGATCGGAAAATTAGTCTTGATCCCGATAGCTTCTCGAGCGATTCCAGTAAAAAAAATTTGAATGTCTTGACAGAGTTTGCCATCGTGGTCTGTATGGAGACATTTGTGCGGGCAAATGAACCGCGTACACAAATTGATTGATGTAAACAAAGTTCATCAAGTCAACAAAAAGGAAATATTTGCAACATAAGCCTAGCAACTGGCAGGGGAGGGCAGCATCCTGTGCCCCCGGGCACACACTCACTACCAGGCTGGCTGCTCATTGTTTTATTGTGTACAAGATGGTCTTTAGAAGTAGAACAGCATCTATTCTGACGCATGGTGTTCTCGAGCATTACTATAATTAGCAGACACAAATTCACAATACATAGTGTTAAGTCTGATTAGATGCTATATATTCTCTTACTTTCACAAGCTGCGTAGCGGTTCTCCATAAAAAGCTGTGACTCATTAATGTTGTTGCTCACCACCAACTTTACCGGTAACTGATCGTACAACTGCCTGCTAAGTAGATAATTTACTGCGCTAAATATAATTCACTGTTATTGTTCTGTTAGTTCTCCTTGCACTTCATTTCGTTGTAGTAGCAACGAGCGAGCAACATTTTCTGATGGGAAGCAAAATGGTATCTTGGCGTTTCTGCACTCTCACATATACTTCCAATATTTTATTTTTTTGTTTGTCCTGCTTACTTTTATAGACGTCACAGATAAAAGACTTTATTTTTCGCACCTAGCGCAGTTTGTGCGATTGGAGTGCATACTTCGGTGAGACTACGTACTTAATCGTTTACCTACTGTACTAACGACTGCAATAAAAATAAAATAGTCGGATTGACAAAATTTGGTCACAAACGTCATATTCGACCAATAACTTAGTATTTGCCACGTAGCTGTTAGCCCCCTTTAACTAGAAACAGATCTTGCGTCTCTGGTTCGGCGTCGCATACAGGATCTGACGGCAATGCTAACTAAATTCGAATCCAAAAGCAACCGCGTAAAAGGCTTGGCATTTCACGTGAGCCGGCCCTGGATCCTTACTTCGCTCCACAATGGCGTGATTCAGCTCTGGGATTACCGTATGGGTACACTGCTAGATCGCTTTGATGAGCACGATGGACCAGTGCGTGGTGTAGACTTCCACCGCACTCAGCCGCTGTTTGTATCAGGTGGTGACGATTACAAGCTGAAAGTGTGGGACTACAAGTTGCGTCGATGCCTATTCACGCTTCTAGGTCACTTGGACTACATTCGTATAGCGCAATTCCACCACGAATATCCATGGATCCTTAGCTGTAGTGACGACCAGACGATACGAATTTGGAACTGGCAGTCGCGTTCGTGTATCTCAATCCTTACAGGCCACAATCACTATGTTATGTGCGCGCAATTTCATCCCAAAGACGATCTAATCGTCTCGGCTTCGTTGGATCAGACCGTGCGAGTTTGGGACACCACAGGCCTGCGTAAGAAAACTGTGCGTGGGGCTCCCACAGCTATGGACGATATAGTTGGTCACTCGACGTCCCGATCTAATAATCATGATATATTTGGCGCCAGTGATGCAATCGTCAAATATGTGCTCGAGGGCCACGATCGTGGTGTGAACTGGGCCAGTTTTCATCCGACACTTCCTCTTATTGTTTCGGGTGCTGATGACCGTCAGGTTAAGCTCTGGCGTATTAATGAGACGAAAGCTTGGGAGGTCGATACGATGCGTGGACACACGAACAACATTTCGTGCGTGCTGTTCCATCCGCGTCACGAGCTCATTATCTCAAATAGCGAGGACCGCTCCATTCGTGTCTGGGATATTTCGAAGCGCATGGGTTTGCAGACATTTCGCCGTGAGAACGATCGGTTCTGGATGCTCTCGGCTCACCCGACACAAAATTTATTGGCTGCTGGCCATGACTCTGGCATGATTGTTTTCAAGCTGGAACGTGAACGTCCGGCTCTAGACATTTACGAGAACCGCGCATACTATACGAAAGAGCGCTACATACGCATGTATTCATTTGTTGATGGCAGCGACGTGCCAGTTGCTGCTGTTCGTCGCACGGGTACAACCGGGACGGGCTTGAATAATTTACCGCGTCACCTGAATTACAATCCATACGACCAAAACTCAAGCACTCAAAGTGTATTGGTGACGAGTGACACCGATGGTGGCTCATACGAGCTTGTGACATTTACTCATGGCTCAGGTGGCGACACGTCTGAATCGAGCCGTGGCCCAGGCTTATTTGCTGTGTTTGTTGCTCGTAACCGGTTTGCTGTCTTGGATAAATCGCGTCATATTGTGATCAAAAACTTTCAGAACGAGGTGACTAAGAAGATCACCCCGCCTAATGGCACAGTGGATGGTCTATTCTTTGGTGGTGTCGTAGGCCGCGTGCTACTTCACATTGACGACAAGATGATACTTTATGAGACGCAGAGTCGTCGCGTACTGGCTGATGTACAGGCTCCGCGCGTGAAGCACGTTGTTTGGAGCCCTAATTACGACTACGTGGCTTTGATCAGCAAGCACTCGATTGTGTTAGCAGACAAACAGCTTGCTCACTTGAGCACCATCACGGAGTCGGTACGAATAAAAAGCGGAATTTGGTCCAATTCTCCCGCAGAAATCTTTGTTTACACGACGTTGAATCACATTAAATACACTTTGTCGAATGGTGACGCGGGTATCATTCGCACGTTGGATGTGCCGGTGTACCTGACTCATTTAAATGGCTCAAAGCTCTACTGTCTTGACCGTGAAGCCAAAATGCGCACGATGGCAGTGGATCTCACAGAGTGTGAATTCAAAATTGCTTTGAACAAGAAAAACTACACTGAAGTGATGCGAATGGTTCGTCACTCAAGACTATGTGGCCAAGCAATTATTTCCTATCTAACAAAAAAAGGCTACCCCGAAGTTGCGCTGCACTTCGTTAATGACGAGAAGACTCGCTTTAAGCTTGCAATCTCATGTGGTAATCTGGAGGTAGCGCTGAACTCAGCCTACGAGCTGGATGACAATAAATGCTGGTACCAATTGGGTGTAGAGGCGCTTCGACAGGGTAATATTCAGGTTGTGGAGATGGCATACCAGCGCACAAAGAATTTTGAGCGCTTGAGTTTTCTTTACCTCGTCACTGGTAATCGTGATAGACTAAAAAAGATGCTCAAGATTGCTGAGGTGCGCAATGATATAATGGGACGCTTCCACAATGCCTTGTACCTTGGCGACGTCGAAGTTCGGGTGGTGACCCTTGAAGCAGCTGGTCAGTTTGGTCTTGCACTTTTAACTGCTGCTACGCATGGTCTTAATGACCATGTAGAACGGCTGCGTGCACTTTTACAGGAAACAAACCCTGATTTTGATGTGAATGCCTTTCTTGCGCGAGAAATGCTATCCAATCCGACCCTACTATCCCCGCCACCGTGTGTAAGTCGGCTTGATAGTGAAAATTGGGCGCTTGTGGAAATTAATGAGCCTACGATTCAAGACCACGCAATCGCCGCAGAGAAACGAGAAGCCGAGCGCAGTCTGCAGCCGCAACAGGAGACGGGTCACGGGTTGGTTGAGGAGCAATCGGCGCGTCAGTCATCAATTGATTTGGCAATGGATGCCGCCGGAGATGCCTGGGATATGGAAATGGATGGTGACCTTGACCTGGATGACTCGATTACGATTGATGATCATTCTCTTGGCACGGACGCGTCTGCTCTGGAAGACGACTTTGCCAATCTTAGCACGGGAGCTGGCTTCGTGGCAGCTCCTTCGGCTGGCTCGAGTCTTGCAGTGCAATGGGTGCGCAATTCATCTTTGGCTGCTGATCATGTGGCTGCTGGTTCATTTCAGACTGCCATGCAACTACTGCACCGCCAGATCGGTGTCATTAATTTCAAGCCTCTGAAGCCTGTGTTCCTTCAAGTTTTTTCGGGTGGTTCAGCGATGCTATCCACACAAGGCAGTTGCACGTCACTGCGCACGTGGCTGCAGCGCAATGATGCTAATCAGCCAGCAGTGGCCGTGTCGTTTGCAGCTCTCGTCGAGGAACTTAAGCTCGCATACCGTTCATTCACAGGTGCCAAGTTTGAAGACGTGAAGGCGCATTGTCAGTCAATAATATTTTCAATTCCATTGTTGGCTGTGGATTCGAAGGAGGAAGCAGAGAAGGTAAAAGGTTTACTGACAGTCTGCCGTGAGTATCTGATTGCTTGCCGCATTCGCTCCGATGTGGCCACCGTGCCTCTAGAAAGCCACCCGAAGCGCAACATTGAACTCAGTGCTTACTTTACACACTGTGAGCTGCAAATGCCGCATTTGGTACTGACACTAAAGATTGCCATGACGAACGCATTCAAAGCTGGCAACTTCATCACTGCGGCATCGTTCTGTCGACGGTTGCTAGAAATTCCAGAGGTATCACAACACCCGCGTCATGAGAAGCTGCGCTTGACTGCGCTGAAGGTGCTGCAGAAAGCTGAAAAGGAGGCGCGCAATGAGCATGCCATTGATTATCAAGACTCGAAGCCGTTTGTGCTGGACGCGCGCAACTTTACGCCGATTTACTTGGGCGAGCCTGATGTGCGCTGTCCCTATTGTGCCGCCGCGTATCATCAGCAAAGTAAGGGCTCACTTTGCGATGTGTGTGGCATTTCAAATATTGGCGAGGAAACTATCGGTCTAGTCGTCACTACAGCTCAGTAAGATTCACTCGCAGACAAACGGTGCAAGTTTAAGATCTAAATGAAATGCGTCCTATTTTATCCAGTGTAGTCTCCGTGTTTTTTGATAAAAACCGATACCTAGTTTCTATTTGTCCCTTTGTTTTGCTCAATGCATGCTCGTAGGCACTTCGCGCAGTTGGACGAAGAGCAGCAAGATAGCGATCGGACTATCTCGACACCGTCGCGGCACCTGCAACCTTGTGCTCGACCCTCAACCTTTACAGAAACTGACCGCTGCAGCGCAAGACAATTGCGTCGTCGATTCCCGACCTCTGCATTCTTTTCGGACTCAACAGATGATGACATGTCGCGTCCGCTCGCAACGACCTCAGACCGTTCTCAGCTCTCCACGAGTGCATACGATTTCTCTGCGAAAAGAACAACTAGTCAAACTCAAGCACCGCTTAACATGAGTGCGGGACCAAGAAGCGGACTCAGACTCCATGTTGAAACCATCGAATTTCCAACGACGCGCTCTGTACTCTGGGATCGTCGACCTTTGTCAGCGGTGCCAATTGAAGTATCACTTGAGCAAATTTTACCGCGTTTCATTGTGTCGGCGAATGCATTAAAGGAATTGTATAAGCTGTTTGGTGAGAATCTCTGCAAGCACGACAGTCGTGAGGCGCTCTGTTATCTGTATAGTGATTTGTCGTCTGTTAATGGAAGAAAAATTCGTTTACAGCACGTCAAAACAAAGGCAATGGACTCAAAAGCTGCTGGTATGTGGTGTTTACCGGTGTATAGTGGGAGCACATCAGAACTTTTACTGAAGAACTACGTTTGTACTATCAAAGCGGTACAAAATACCTATAAAGACGAGTATGCTGACAGTCTTTCCTCGAAACTCCAGCCAAAGCTTTTCCTGTTTCGCTCATCACCGCATGCTGCACAATTGGACATCCAGCTCGAATGTGTGGCGCCTCCACTGTTGTTTAAGTTTACACTTGTACGAAATTTGCCGTTGCTTATGACGCCACTGGCTGCAAGTTTAGCAAAGCGAGAGTTTAATCCTAACTCGGGGAATATGCGGTCTGGTTATCTTACCCTTGACCGAACACGAAAAGCGGTGCCACTTTTGAAAGTCGATCCCTTTGTTTTACAGCATCCAGTTGTCGGTATTTGGCTTTACGGAGTCCATATTGATGATGCTTGGAATGAAGAGACAGCGCGACGACAATTAGCTGATCCGTTCTTGTATTTTGCATGCATTGGCTACTTAATGTCCGAGGTAATTAAAGAACGTGTGGGACCCAACAAAAATACTTTCTTGGTGGCGCTGTATCCTTCCGGCGATTCTGATTGTGGTGCTGTAATTAGCTCGTTGCCTCGCTTCTTCGAGTGCAGTTTCTCGAAATTTCTATCACCTCCAGCTATGCCACTTCCAATAGAGCTTTACTCGCATCGACGGTCGTGCTTAATAGGCGTCTCAAAATTCTCAAATGATGTGGAATTTAGTTTGTCAACTGCTACTTCAAAAGAGTGGGAGAAAGCGAGGAAACGAGTAGGAATTCCTATGGCTTTGTGCTCGAAAAAAAACGATGATTTAGATCATAATCAAATTCATTTTGACGATCAGATATTTAATTCAAAGTCTTTACCCACATCCCACGAGATCACGTCAGTCGGTGCCACTGAAGAAGAAAGGAATGACGCAACGAGTGGATGGACAATAACAGCTGATGCTTTAAAGAATGATATGATTCGAGATTCGAATGCATCGCGTCAAGGCTTGATATTTAACGAAGCGGCAACTGAGCCAGCATTAAATGGTACAAATACAGGGGGAACACTGTTGACAGCAACCGTCAGTGATGACAATCAGCGCGGTAAGGCATGTGAAATTATGCCTTTGCTATTGTCCGAATCGAAGGAAGGTGAAGATGCTACCGCAGCAACTCAATGTAACTTTGCAAGTCATGATACCGATAATTTTCAAAGGTGTTGTAAATCTCAGCAGCTGCTGACTATCCAGCATCAGCAAATACTTGAGAACCAACAGAGACAGCTGCATGAAATGCAAGAACAGATTACTCAGCTACGTCACCTCCTACATGCCACAAGTAGCGACAGTAACCATGGAAACCTTGAGAGGAATCCTATCGACACCAGAGCTCATAACTCAGACACAAGTATTGCAAGCTCTGGGGCAGCGGCTAATGCCTCGATTACCTCTAGCGATTTAAACAAGCGTATTAATGGCAATGTGAACTCTCTGCTGTCAAAAACAGTAACATCTCCACGTCCTCAAAACGACTCCATTTCCGACTTAACTGACGATGAACATGATAAGGAGGATGACAAAAAAGAAGAAAATAAGTTGGATGATTCTTTGAGCTCGCTGGGCCTGTCTATAATAAGTAGCAGCTCAGACGCTAACTTGTCGTCGCTTTCGTCATCGCTTGTAAGCAATAAAGCAAAGCGACTGAGCTCATGTCAAAATCGTGGAAATGAGGGTGTCGATGTCAGAGAAATTGATTTTGACACAAATTTGCATAGCTCAGCGAACAGGCTGAAGAATACGCAACATTCTGCAGTAAACGAAGAATGTACTAGCCCTGAAGCCAAACCTTGTCGCGACAGACCACACGAGACAGGGTCCAGTGCACACAAACTATCAATCGGTGAACTTAACATTTTATTGAATGAGGAAGTCGCCACTAAAGCTAAGAACGAAGATATAAAATGTGCTACCCTTGAATCTGACAATGTTTCGGAAGCTGCTGGTGATACTAGTGATGATAGTCTTTCACGCGTTGAACAACTATTATCGCCCGATGCTTATCTACGCAAGATTGGGGGCTTAGTCGACCACCACGGTGGCTGCTTCACGACGCCACCTCTCGATTTTCATAGTTTCTGCGTACCTCGCATCAGGTTTTCGACCGAAACTTCAGGATACTGCTTGTCAGATTCTGAGGACGAGGAGATTCGAATTATCGAACAAAAGTACAAGCGATTAATGTCTAGCTAAATTTCCACGATTGAACCCACCGAGTCGTATAGTGTCCGGGTCTCTGTTCGTAATGGAGCGTTGGTCCCAGTGCGACCAGATTGGCTGGCAAAGGCCATACCTGATCTGCACTTCCGTTAAATAGTCATGCCATGTGATCTCACAGTGCTTCTTTATCTTGAGATCGATGGACGATAGTATTCATCGTGAAGAATACAGCGAAGACGCCTTTGATTAGCAGGTACAATACTAAGAATAACCAATTTCATTTTTCGAATTACAATTTGTGGTCTTACCAAGTTCTAACGTCGATGACTTTGACATCATTCATAGCACTGGGACAAGCAATTCGTCAATTGCCTGCTTGGTTTCGGACTGAAGTGATAGCCCGGTGGCTTGCACATCCTTGACATACACAAGATATTCAGCAGGAAGCATGAACACACTAACTGGCTGTCCGGGCGTAGTAGGCTGCACTACGAACCGGAGGCGATTCAAGTTGTAGATGCCCGCTGCAATGAAGCATGCCTTCAGCTTGATTGTAAGTTGGGTGTTTGCTGAAAATCGCGCAATCCTTTTCTTAGTGATACCGGTCCAGAAAAAACACGGCGGTGAACCATGAGGAGGAAAGGCACCGGAATGAGAGACCGAGTAAAGCTTAGTAAGCGACGACTCAGCTGGAACTGAACTTTGAGCTTCTTCGGGATGAAGCATTTCAACCGTCACATCCAGAGGTCTTGAACCCCGCGCTGCATCGTTGCAGACTTGCATGAAGATATTTAGCTCCGCGATGCTGAGCTCCGGACTGGTGGATCTCTGCAAGTTGATTGAATCCTTGTAACTTAGCGTCACAGTTAAAGGGCATGATGAAGTCTCGTGCGTTGGTGGGCGAATTTTGACCGAGGGAATATTTTCCTGACCAATTGCTTGATAATGCTGCTCTGCATCTTCGTTTCCACTGTGATTTGCGTATTTTTTTGTCGACCAAACAAGGATTAGGTGGCCATCGGCATTTGAGTGAAAAAGCAGCGCGTCTTTCGATGTAGGCTGCGGCTGCGGCTCTTGCTGCGTTTTATCATCATTGCCGCCGTCTTCCGCAATATTTTTGAGCGCCTTATTTTCTCGTCGAACACTTTGGATTGTGCGAAAGCCGCCACCACGTTTACCGTCGACACCATCACCATTCCCGGTGCTATCAGCACGGGCAAGCTGTGCAGCATGTTCTAAGCACAAAAATTGTTCAACCGGCAACGTCGCCGAAATTTCAACCCCATTTTGTTTAGTACTGAGAGGTAACTTGCATGATTTATATTTTTCTGCCGCAGAATCATTGTGTCGACGCACCACGCGAAAGTAACTTGTACTGGCTTCAGAATAGCCAAGATGCAGCGAATCTCGTACCTCGGTAAAAGTTTGAAATGACATTTGATTTAATTTCTCAACAGCCCAGGAGCTGCTTACACAAATAAGCTCTTCCAGATGGACCATCTCGTCAAGAGTTCCCCGTCTGTTCTGATGGTGCTGTCGCTGGTTTGCCACGGTAATTCCAAGAATGTATTCGCCCGTTGCACAAAAACTTGGCTCGATCGTGTAAGAAACGTCGATGCACGGGAGCAAGTCTAGGGCTAGCATGATCTTTACTGTGCGCGAAAGTATGGGCTTAGAGCTGATGACTAGAGTCGTATATTTAAATAGAAGGGCCGCATTATTTCGCCCAGGTACTGCACCTCGTGCCCACATGATAACATCTTTTCGTTCTCCTGGAGCAAGAATGATCGCGCTTAAGTCCAAAACATTTCCATTCGCACCAATGTACCCGCACAAATCTTCAACCGCCCCTGATTTAGATGCGCAAAGTTGCAAATCGGCACAGCAGACTTGCAGGCCACCTAAAGGTGCAGTACCTGAATTAATAAGAGAAACTTTTAGCTTGATCAGCTCGCCAACAAAATGTTCTGCGGTATTATCTTCAATTTCCACCCCAAGCCATGGCATAGACTCGACAACATTCGCGATTAGACTCATGTTTGGGGCACGAGCTCGACTTTCACGATGTGCTCGTGTATCTTGCAATAGGGGCCCAGGAATGTCGAATGCGTGCTCGCCTTGGACATCACCACCGCATATCGACCACCGAACGCCAGTCAGGATAAGCTTTCCACATGTTTGCGGACATACGGCTAGGCGGACACGTTCCTCGCTACAAGGTAGAAGTTGAAGGTTCACACTATTAATCACAACACGCTGCTTACTAGACTCCACGCTCTCAGGGACGTCAAACACGTCTTTGCCGTCACCCGCTGTCTCAAACATTCCAAACAAATGAATGTCCTCGACGTCAACCGCACACGATAGGGCATTCTTCATTACAAACTCAACATAGATCTGCTCTCCTAACACGTAATTTTCTGGCTTTAGAATCTCCACATTTTTTTTATTGCGATAACCAGCATAGAGATGAGAAGGCACAAACCAACTCTTGGTGTCGTCATTGCTGCTTGACGTCACATATTGATGCAGACGATTTTGTTTGTCAAGAATGTCATAGAGGTTTTGCCACATCTCCTTTTCTGACTGGTTACCATCGATCGTTCTATCAATTCCAACCGCATTGGTCGCAGCAAACACAACTGTCGACTTTTCGTCCAGCTCAGGCATGCGCAAATCTCTAACCAATAGTTTCTTGACGCTACCATCACCGCTCGTGATTAATACAGGACTTCCGTGAGAGAATGATGATGACGAAAATACGTCTGCAAGTTCTGTCGCCAAATAGTCCTTGACAATCAGACCAAAATCGTATAGCATCGCTTCTTGCTGGCTAGCCGAATTTCGGCCTGTAACTATAAGTTTGAGAAATAGAATAATGGAGGCCATGCGGTCGTCCAGCTTGCTAGCTTGTTGCGCAAGCATGAAGTTTATATGATCTTCGACAAGAAACCACCCACTACAGTCGTAGATGGCTCGTGCCAATGAGTAGCACCTTGCAGAGTGTTGCTCATGCCCCAGAGAGTTGTAGACATGACCAGCCATCACCATTCGGAAGCCAAACTTGCGATACTTTGGAAGTCGCGCGCGCAGATCACAAAGAGCCGCACGCTCCATCAGAACAGCGGCACAAATGCCCTGCTCCATTGACGAGCCACGAATAAGCGCAGCCGACGCACTGTCCATGTAGTCCGTAAAAAGCCCTGACTTGCTCAGCGCGTGGTAGATCTCACCAGCGACTACTGCTGTCCGAACAGCGAGACGCTGGGTCAAAGGGGATGGTGCCTTGGCATAAATTGCATTGGCCGCGTCCAAAGCATTTGTCATCTGCATGGGCGATCCTTTAGTAACAAGTAAGCAAAGCGCAATCATTTCGTTTGCATTGGCGCAGTGAAACATCGACTTGTCCGATTTATAGTCCTCTCGAACTAATCGATACATTTGCAACGCCAGCTCGTAATCTCTCACAAGAAAGGCCGTATCGGCCAGAAGACGCGTCTGTGACTCAATAGCGTCGCTTTTGTAAGACACGTTTCCAGAAGCAGAGACGTTTGACATACGCAAATCTTTCGGTTTACGTAGCCACGACTTAAAGACATTCTTCACTCCTTTTTTCATGGCAGAAACAATTTCATTCAGCTGATATATCCGTCCTTCTAGCGACGACAAAACAAAACGCAATCCAAACTCTCTTACAAATGCTTTAAGATGGTTCACATCATCACTTGATAAAAATGCTCCTACTGCTCCACTTGCTAGCGGAAATGTCTCCGGTTGCTCTAAAAACAGTGGGGGTCTCACGTACGGATTATCGATCCATGCGGTCGCAAATTGTGAAAATACTGTAGCTTTTACCTCAGACAATGAGTTGATTCTTAATACTGTTCCGTTGTTTGTGGAAATGTTCATACTTGTCAAGATTGCTTCGGGATCAATCCCCGTGTCTGTTGTCTCGACGATATCGTGTAACACAACGTAATACTTCGGCACTAATGCAATATCGTACAATCCCTGTTGAAAAGGCAGAGGAAGATTTTTAGGCGCAGTCAATTCTTCGAAACTGTGGCGGGGATTCGGGTCTGTGGAACTCACAACCACCAACATGGCTACTGGATGAGATAAGAGGCTATATTCTTCACATCGAAACGTATCCATGAGTGTATATTTGAAAGAGTGATACCATGGCATTGGGTCGGTATTGCCTTCTGCGTCGGCATCCGCGCCAATAAAGCGTTGATACGTGGCCACTTCGTTCACGGTGGTGACGCGTGGAATGTCGAGCTCCACTGCAGAGGCCGCTTTTGCTTTACACTGTGGTGGGTGGCGCTTAAGTGTAGCATTTAGATGCTTGGAGGCGTCGTTAATGTTTATAGCACGGAATTGACTAGCCGCTATGAAGCGAAAATTGAAACTTGCAAGCTGAATCGGATGTGTCACAGAGCGCAGCGGTGTGTCGGCGTCATTCAAGCGCGCAAATCCGTTCAGTAGATTATCCACCGAAAGGTTGTTCTTTCGCGCAATGCGTTCAGCTTCCGACGTAGAGCACGTAAGCACCACAGGTGCGAAAGTGTCTTGCACCCAGCTTTCGACTGATTCCATGGGGGAAGTTGCCCGTTTTTGTGCTGTTTGAGGCACAAGCTCAACAATATTAAAATACAGTAATCATTTCCCTAAGTCCGCACTTTGATCTTGGCTGCTTAGTGCGGAAAGTTTGCGCATTGCAGTCCTCGTCTATCTTTTCCACAATTTGAATTGTATATAAAGTAGACGCATGTCTGCAAAATCTCGCGCCGTTTATTAAAAAAGACAAGGGGAGAGGCAACTTTGAAACATTTGGAAAATGGAGTTGCAACCGGCAAATAGCCTTCCTAGTAGTTTAAATGACAGAACCATCCAAATTTTTTTGGCTGCAACAAAAGAAATTAAAGCTCGAGCAATTCGCGTGGAAGTTACAATGAGAGATAATATTTTGGATTGGAAACCACAGCACAAAACAATCTTTACGAATTCACTGAAGTACCGAAGGCTCTATTGAGCAGCCTCATTATTGGAAAAACTTGAAAATATGATTAACGAATCTAACTCAAATTGCGTCTATAACATAGATATATTTTTTCGTTTGCCGCCTCGCTATTCTGCTGTATTGTTCCTGAGAATTTGATCATTGCTCGAGGCAAAAAAAAGTTCCAAAAAGAGAGTTACACTCATTGTTTGTTGTAATGCAGTCGGGCCTGAGCCAGTTCCTGTAGCAGTGATCAGGAAATCCAATGAGCCAGCTTGCACATCTGGGCGGCATGGCCATTGCCATATTGTACTCAATAGAAGGAATATGTCGACGTTGCTAAGCTTAACTAATGCTTTGAGGAAGTTCCAGACCATTTGTTCGCCGCCAAACGGGCCAGATGCTGGTTCAGTTTTTGATAATGCACCAGGACATTTTCAACCTTTTGAAAAGACGGAATAAGTATTACGTCTCCTAATGTTATGTCGTGGGAACAGCCAATAGACATCGGAAGCTATCGCTGCACTGAAAATGCGCTATATGTTTATGCTGATAAAATCGTTTTTTCTATTATGACCTGATAGGTAGTCTCAAAATTCGTTTAGAAGCATATGCTACCAAAATGAGACAGACAAGGCGAAAGAAGTTCGGAAGACCAGCTCTTTTGTAACACGGAGTCTCATATCGGCATATCGGCGAAGGTTTTGCGGGACTGCTTTGCAAAAGCAGATGTAATTTCGTACAAGAGGACAGACAAATTCTCTTCTCTTCTCTTGATGAAGGAGGAAGCGAAGACAGCATCTTAAACGATTTGATCTCGGTGATCGAAAATGCACGCTTGCACATCAATTATCGATTCGAAAGCTTACTCTCGGAATAGCATCGTGTGCTTTGGGGTCTGGGTAAGTGTTCCACCAAGCGGTCATTGAAGAGATTAAAAATCAATTTGAGAAAAAAGAAGATGAAGTTGAAACGAAGGGCTCAGACAATATATTGACGAAAAAAGTGTTAAAAAATCAATTTACGACATTATCGTGCAGTTGTTGAATTTGCAATCTACCAAAATTACGATTTCTGGATCAAAATTGATGGAATGCTCAATAACATACTTTCGGCAAAAGTTATCATACAACAAGGAGAATTCGCTGTTTTCGCATGTGTTGATCCCCATTTTACAATCCAGACTTGGACTTAAAAAAAGCTAGAGCTGACTGTAAACAATTTAGTTTTCATCGTAGTGAGGATTGATAAAATTGTAATTGAAAAAGAGAATATGTTGGATGGTCATTAAGATGAGTATTTTTACAAGGAACTGACAGTTTTGCCATAGTCAGAAATTTCAATTCAACAACAAAAAAATATCATCAGAAAATCATGAATTAGAATATACAATATTTCCCTTCAAAATAAAACCGAGATCGTAATAAAAATGCTAGCGAAAAGAAACCTTGCCGCACAATTGTACGTGCGTGGTTTTAGTGCCCGCGTTCTGTCTACTGTGGTGAAAAACGAGGTCCAGAAGTTTAATGCTGCAGCCTCGTACGTTGACTCGTAACGTTTTATTTGGTTTCTTTAACAACCAAATGTTGCAGTGACTGGTGGACACCAAAGAGTAGAACGGGTGTGGGTCCTCTACATCAGATCAATCCTGTTCGGGTCAAATACATTCGAAGTCACGTGATCATGCATTTTGGTCACACGAATGATGACGATCCCATGCCGCTACGAGGTCTGCGAGTAGCTGATGTCGGCTGTGGGGGTGGGATTCTGTCCGAGTCATTGTGTCGCATCGGTGGCACCATGGTATCCATTGACCCTGGAAAGGAGAATATTGCAGCAGCGACAGAGCACGCAGCTACAAGCTGCCATACCAACAAAATTGAGTACCGTCAGTGCACTTCTGGTGAGCACATATCGTAAAAATGCGCTTAAAAATTGGCAGTAATTAACTTGACACTTAATCGCGCGATGTAGATGATTTGGTAAAACAGGGTGAAATATTTGACGTTGTTTGCTCACTGGAAGTTATCGAACATGTGTCAAGTGTACCAGCATTCTTGCAGTCACTCACACCGTTGGTAAAGGTAAGAGGTTGTAGTATTGTATTGATTGATTTGATGATATATAATATGATGCAACTTCCAGCCTGGTGGCTTGCTATTTTTGTCATCGATTAACCGTACGGTATTATCGGCGGCTTTAGCTATTGGGGCTGCAGAATACATGCTGAGGATTATTCCTCCAGGAACGCATGACTGGAATAAGTTTGTGCAGCCGAGTGAAATTGAACATGAGTTGCGGAAGGACGGAATTATAGTGAAAGATATATCAGGTATTGTTGGAGATCCGATGTTTCGCAACTGGCGTATTCATCCATCGTGCACAGCTGTGAATTATATTATGTGTGCCGTTAAGCCTTCTATCAAGTAGCTATACCAGCAATATTATGTGCTTCACGCTGATAGAGCTAAGCATCGGATGGATCGTGAAATCTGCTTTATTAATTGTAATACATGAGAAATTACCATTTGTTTCTTGGTCCATTCTCCTCTTGTAGATCGAGGTTAGCGGCATCATCGGCACGTGCACTATAATAATGCTGAGCACGCCAATACGATGCAACCAAGGCTTCATAGCGCTCGTTTTTAACAAGTGAAAGCTGTAAATCGTGATCAGCTAACGAGGCTTGATCCTTTAACATGCGGTGGAACAACCTGTCTCGAGCCGTCTCGGTAGCCGGCCAGTTTGACAGCACTGCCAGGTTAGCAAGTTCCTTCCATTGGTGCGCTATTGCGTCTGAAGGTCAGAACAATAAAAGTTTTCCCTTCATGAGTGAAGAAAAGAGCAATATACGAGGACGACTTACTTTCGCCACTAAACTCGACGTGAATGCGTATATTTTCTCTCGACTTGTTTGTGACAGCAGCCTTCAGCTCTTGTGATCTTTGACTATGGCGTAGGCCATGAGATAACATTAATCAAAGAGAAAAGTGAAGCGACTAAGACGCACCGAATCTTCTGAAATGCATGAATTGAGATGAATACAACAGGTACTGCGATCTGTTGAATCACAACAGCTGTCGTAAGTGCATGTGCTGCATGCGGGAAGTGTTGATCTCCTAAAACAATTCCAGACGGACGCCATGCCTGATAGTATTCCAATTGCCGCATAAATGTACATTCGCGAGAGCTCCTCGGATCTCGGATCTGAAGAAGAAGAAATGAATTTCTTATCTTTCCTTGGCTTGAGCGCGATGAAGGTCGCGTAGGGTTATCTTTGCATGGATCAAACACTTTTGGATTCGGGAAAATGAGGTTGTGCCTACCGACTGGAATATTGACTCCTGCGCTGCTTGCCGAACTATAATCCGCCGGCTTCAAATACTCAAATGTGTCTGTAACTAGCTCGGCCGAAGTAGCCACGGACACGGACATGAATCCTGCACTCGCATCTTTGATGAGATAGGCGGCAGAGCGACGCAATGAATCACTGTCTCCAGGGTGTACTTCAAATCGGTCGACAGCACATGCTGAGGTAAATACAAAACGAATTTGCTGACTTTCACCAGGGCGGACGGCTCCCATTTGATCTAGTAAGCGTGCTCCAGAATCAGCTGATACCATGACTATCGGAATATCAATGGGGTGTGGCAATGAGGATGGTGGGGGGATACGCACTCGTGTTGGCTTTTCACCCAAACGCTGAACGAAAATAACACCCTTGGCCCCAGCTTCTTCTACCAATGCAGCTTTTTGATGCATCGGGCATCCAGTGACACTCTGGTAACCATGCAAAGCAGAAGTATTGCGATCAATTAATAATGTTTGAAGAAGGGATGACACTTTATCGTGGTGCGTACCGGAACGAGAACATATTTATCAGTAACATCGATCGACAGTGGGGCACACGCATCGGAAGGCTGAGAAAGAATCAGCTCTCGGAAGGCACAATTTGGTGGTAACCCATCTTTAGACAACACAGCATAAAGCTTGAGCTCATTCGTCTTATCGCCAACACTTGAAATCTAATTGACCACAAACGCATGATTATACTCTAACGCATTTTTGTCACAGATATCATAGCCTACTTGTCGATGTACGTACCACATAGTCAAAAGTCTCTTTTTCAATGGGGTCGTACGTGATTGTCTTCGCTGACTCTGCGTCGACTACGCTTTCCGTCAGTGGGAACTGGATGTATCGATCGTTATGAGTTTGAAAACGCAGTGAACGTGGCAATTGTGCCGCTTGTAGCTCCTTCACAGCTCTTTGCAGACCATATCCTTCAAGTGAAATATCGTTTACAGCAATAAGACGATCCCCAATCTCTGCTAGACCTGAAGCCTCCACAGCTCGACCCCGACCCTCAGAATCAGCAACGAACCCCAATACTTCTAGCTTTTCGTTGAGACGCAATCCGAGTGGCGCGTTGGTTGCCACGACTACCGAGTATTGTTGCTTTTCCAGTGAACGTTCGCTGGCATATTGGGATGCCACAAAAGCAGGATTTAGGAGATTTATGTAAACAGATATCTCCACTTTCACAAGGATTAACGTTAGGATTTTGCATATCATAATCAGAAATCTGGTATGAGTCTATAAAAACTCAAACATTGTCTTCTGAAAGGGCGCTTTTGACATTGTACGGTATGGTTTGAATCTTCGCATTGTTAAAGTATGTCTACTTCTTAATCCAAGACTATGCTGAAAGATTAAAACTCATCTTCGTGAGCCCAGAGCTTGAATGTGCGGTCAAAGCCACAGGATACTATATGCTTTTCGTCTGGAGAAAAGTCGGCAGACATAACCTTCCCGTCATGTCCGCGAAGAGTTGACATCAGCTTCCAGTCGCGAGTTCTCCAGATCTTGATAGATGAATCGTATGACGCACTCAGCAACAGCTCGTTAGACCCGGGTGAATAGCGTACGTCGCTTACTAAATTACTGTGTGCTGGGAGCATGTACGAGCACTTTTGTTGTCGCAAGTCCCAAATACGAATACTACGATCGTCACTTCCTGACGCAAGATGCACGCTATTGGCAGCAAAGTCCATCGACAAAATCTGCTTAGAGTGGCCCTGCAATGGTAAAATGGCTTTGCCCGAACGTAGGTCCCAAACACGTCCATTTCCATTCAAATCCCCGGTTGCTACAAGCGCACCGTCCTTCTGAAACGCGATGGCATATACCTCCTTATAGTGTCCTTCCTGCAGTAATAGCTCTTGCGCTGATGTAATGTCCCAAAGTCGCCATGTGTGATCAAAACTTGTGGTACCAATGTAGTTGCCTAATGGATGAAACGCAACTTTGCCTAATCGCGCCTTGTGACCTTTTAACACAGCCAAAGGCTCATTGCGAGCCGCACTCCAGAGCCGTGCAGTGCCATCAGCTGACCCACTGCAAAGGCAAACGACATCTGCTCTATCCGTCATTTCAGTAAAGATATTGGTAGGATGCCAAGCTAAACCTGTGATGCGATCTTCGTGTCCTCGAAATACCTTGACCTCGCAGGCATTTTCTGCACTCCAAATCTTTACAAGACTACTCCACGAGCCCGTAGCGACATGTGCGCCATCAACTGAATATCGAACACTGGACAAGGGCCGTTCATCACCATTCTGACTAGCAACATTGGCCATTTTCAGAGCTGTAGCGTATAGCATAGCTGCGTGCTGATCTACATTTATGAATTTTGCCTGTCGCTCTTGTATTAATCTTGCACTCACAGTTTTTGCCGTATGAGCAAATATTGTAGCACGTGCATGCTTAAGTTTCTCGTTTTTTATTGGCACGTAGAATAACTGATCATCCTGCCGCTTTGTAGATTTGCGTGCAATATTTTCTGTTCCTGGTGCTTCCAAGACCTCTGTTCCTACTCCTGCTTCCTGCTTTTGGATATCTGCCAGAACTTGATGCACAAAGCCGGTTTCCTCAGCTTCTAATTCAAGATGAGACAAGATTTCTCGCAATCGCTCGCGTCGGTCTGCTGGACGCTCTCCAAACAACGTGATGGGCTCGCCGAGCTGCCGCAGCCGCCGAATAACTTCTTCTATGATTGTTGGAACTGCAATATTACGTGCCCGCTTTTCTGCTTCGATGCGGCGTAACAGCTGCGCATGCTTCTCCTGGGCAGCGCGACTGCTCTCAGAAAGTTGTAGTACCTCTGTCTCCACGTTGTCCGACACGTTCACGTTACCAGCACGAATTGCCGATTCCAAATTGCTTGATATATTCCCGTTTTCCTTACCAATGCAGCTTCCAGGTTGCACATCATCATTGCTTGGGTCAATCGTTCCAAAGTAGATGCCCTTGCGCTCGGTCATCTTCCTGTAATAAAAGCGAGCAAATCTTAAATTTTATAATTTTCAATATTGAGATCTATTATCGATTTAGTTGCAAAGAGTCTTATCTGAACAACAGTTGCGTTGCTCCATCGAATTGCTCAATGACTTTCTTTTTATGCGGAGATACCTTTAAATCTTACACTAAGACATTGGATGGCTTTCAATATAAAGATTCGGTGATCTGGGTAACTGAAGACTTGATCACACTATAGCAACGATAGATAAGTTAGAAGAGGCAGAAGCTGTCCTCACCAGAAGTACAGCGGATTCAGCAAGTGCCGTGATTGCGTTGAGATTCAACAAATTGTTTACTAGTCTGCTATATAGGCCACAGTCGAGAAATATCGTAGCAAGGATTGTAAATAGCACATAGTACAGTGATTGGTATCGTAAAGAGCAATATACCAAGCAATTAAGTGTGAAATAGTGTGAAATAGTCTGTGAGAGTATGCTAGGCCATCATGGATGCAAAATACAGCTCCGCACAAACCGTCGATTCCTTGCTTATTGCTAGTTTTGCTATTATCGGTGGCGATATTTTTCGCCTCAAGCTTTGACCAGAAAAACACTTGTTTAGATAGTTCAAGATCCACAACGGCATAAAATGGTTGGCATCCTAATGAAGATATTTTGATCGGAGCATATAGCACCGAGAGCTTTCACATTCATCCACTCCTATTGAGGAAATGATGGTTATCTCATTGGATGCGTAGTTAAAGTTCCTAGCCACGAGGATCGGACGAGGAACTGGAAGTGAGGGCTCTATGAGCGCACCAAAGGTGATGGACCTCAGCAATGCTGAGGAGGAAGATATTGATATGTTTGCTGCTAAGCAGTTCCGTGGTATCCGCAGAAAATGTATTTATGGTGGTACAATCTGCGCTTGGCGTTGCCATGTCACCATTGGTCTAATTGAACGAAGGGCCCATCTCTTACGCAGGACCGTCTGACAAACTTTACACTTCTAGTAGGTAGCCCTGCGCCCGCGGGGTAACATGTGGCTTCACTATTCATCGTAGCGGTCGAGGTCGATTGCTTCCTGCCTTTACGCGATCGACTCTATCTAAGAGAGGTGCAGATCTAGCCCCGGGCTGTTGTCAAGATCAACGCACCGGGCTTTCTATTATTGCGAAAGGTCTAAATAAAGTAGAGATTGTCATGAATCAACGTACGACGCACAACGTCGAGGACAGTAAACGTTCTTGAAGGTATTGACGCCAAATCTGGATACGATATTCGAGCTTTGTTTGACGGGGACACGTCGATGGCTCTTTTGGGCCTTCCTGTGAAGCTTAAAGACTTTCGCTACACTAACCGCTTTCGAGGCCTTGATTTAATGCGAGATGCAATCTCGTCTTAGGTATGGCGTGGCCAGAACGCCACGATCCGAGTAGTTGACAGCTAAATTTCACACACTTCTCTCATGAAAGAGCTCTGGCAAGTTATGATTGCATCTCTACCAGGAAGTAGACAAGCTTCTGGCGCGAGCACGAAGGTGCGATAGTTCCCGTTCAGGATATCCATTTGTCTGAAATTGATGGCGATGATTTCGCTGGGTGTCCCGAGCGGGGCTTGGCAGCAGTTAGCCGCAATTTCAGGATAAGACATGAAAAAAGAACGACTTTGTGTCGCAGTTCTAGAGTGCGAGCAAAAAGAACAGCTGTGATCTGATGTCTTTTGTACCAAATTCAGCGGAGAGGAAGTGTCTGGGTGTCGCAAACGCAAACTCTCGTGGTGGGGGCGCTGGTGTTGAAAAGCTTCCGTAAGCCACGAGTAGAAATGCCAGGACGTGAAGCTATGCAGGATGACTTGCTTTTGTCACAATATCCCAGTACGGCTGATAAAGCACTATCATGTGACAGATTCTTCGTTAGCAGCAGTAAAATCTACGGGTGATTTATCAACTCGCGAATGGGGTGGCCGGGGTAGTCCTAGAGGCTGAAAGTCTCTCATCGTATTTCAAGAAGATTTGTACAACTACTTGCAAGTCGGTGAAGTCACTGACATGACATGGCTGGCACGCGTGGGAGAAAGCCGAGCTCATCATCCATCGTGCATAGATCATTTTAAGAGAACAATCAACAAGCATCGAATGAGAGGGACGGGCAGCATTGAAATATAAATCTCGTAGTTTACCTGCAGGAATATCAAGATCTGGTGATAAGGGGCCGACCTTGCGTGCTAGCCTTGGACAAAAAATGCGTTAAAATAATTACCTCACCCCAAAACTTTATTTAACCACGTGGCAACGACCCTAACCAAGGAAGCATGAAGACACTATGTCACTTTCTTCCGTGCAAAGCACAACGCGTGTTTAGCGAGGGAGGGCTCCTTTTCACTAAGCCTTGGCCTCCAAGGTCGTAAAGGCTAATCTCTAGTGGCTTATTATGCATACTAAAGAAAGCTCTTTGCATCTATGATTTCGGCGCAAACGCCGGCAGGTTGTGCTGCAAAACAACAAGGACGGCTGCACTGTGTTCAGTATTAATTCCTTCATTTATGTTTAACTTCAACTGCTGATGAAGACAGCGATATTCCTCTCGCAGCGCAGAGCGCGAAAAAAGGAGGCTTTGGGAGTGACTGGTAAAATTACAGGGTTGACTAATGCACCGGCGAAACTTCGCCATCTGATGATGCAGCATCGTGGCTATATGCAAATTAATTTCAGCAATATTTTCGTCCACAGTCGTGCAGAGCACGGGAAGTCAGATTTGAGGAGCAACACTAAACACTTGCGAGCAGTGATCGAATTTTTGCGATTGAATATTGTTTCGCTAAGATTGACAAGTGAAAATTTGAACCTGTCAAATTTTCTTTCTATGTTGCATCATTGGTATTCATGGCCTTCGAGGATTCAAAACGGCTGGTCCACGTCGTCTGTGATGTTTCAATTTGCATTAGGCTGTGCTTCGATCCAAACATATGCCAACGAGCATGAATGCGTAATCGTTTTGAGTCTCAACATAGCTGAGTAAGCTACCGTATCATGACATGGACATAAATGCAGGTGTATCATGTCGGCTTTATACCGCTTGTGATCGATGTAGATCATGTATTGCTGTGCACATCGATGTCGGAAAGATCTTTGATTTCTTCCAGAGTATAACCTAAAGGAAAGGCGTCAGCCGGTAGCGATTAATGTGGTGGCGGTTCCGCGTTTGCGTCGCCCTGACAATGAATTGTATTTTGCCACGATGGTGATGTCGCACATCGGTGGGGTGGTACGCACTGGGTACGGGTCAGATGTAACATGCCTTGTGCAGCTGAATCCGTACGAGGCAGACATTTTTAGAGCAATTCTTTCATTAAAGCGCACGACCACCGCCCACACCGCTCAGGCCAGGCTGTTGTGATATGTCATGATAAAATTCTAAAGCACAGAATACTGTACGATGCACCGGGCGATTTTGCAAGAGAACAGACATCCTACTCTATAAGCGATTTGCATAGGAGGCCTTACGTATATTGGAGGGTGTACAATCATGAGCGCGCCGTGTTACGGGCCATATCCGCGCCAGATGTGGCTATAACTTTCTCCTGTCTGTTGGATACAGTAGAGTGTTTGTTATCCATATGAATGAACTTAGCTTCCTATCCTTCTTACGAAGCATTCATTGTGGTCGTTGTGGATCATTTGACTGGACAAGATGGCTCATCTCGCTACTGCCTGTGATTTATGGTCAATGAGGATACAGCCTAGTGCTCTTTGGAAAGTATTACATGGGTTGCCGAGAGCAGTCTCATGCATAAATATCCGCATTTTACAGCGGAGCCTTGTAGAGATTTGTTCTCGGTTTCCACCCTAGAATGGACATGTCAGCCGCTTCCTTATCACAAACACATACGAAGCGGGTCCATCGAATGGTAGTGATATCCTTGGGAAATCTGCGGCTCTGGCGTGAGTTGCTCCAAGTCATTGATATTGATAGAATAACAAACATGCTTCTCAACAGCGTTTCAGAAAATGGTTGTCGTCTCGTTTTGTCATCTCTTATTGTCATCTCGTATGCGATATCGACTTCGAGGATGATTTGAAAAGAGCGACATTTGTTGTTTCCCCTTGGTCACGCTTTTTGATTGCAGCACACCGCAACAATTTAGCTATGGTGCTCTTTATCAACCAATAATGTAATAAAGCCATCTCATTATAATGAAGGGCCAATTAGTCTTTGATATAAATGTCTCTGCGCATGTAACAAAATGATCGCAAGTTACTCCAATCCATTGAGTTTAATTGAATGAACAAAACATGCGTCTTTACGATTAACCACATTTTATAATTTTTGTGAATCGTTAATCCTCGGGTACTTGTAACACCTTCATTGAGTGGCTGGTTCTTTGTGGGGAGGGTATAATACTCGCTGATATCAGTCCGGATACTCTTTGTAGCAAAATCAGTGACTTATCTAAATCAGATTGAGCGGCATACACAGGGTGCGTGACGCTATGGCTGACAGCCATTATATACAAACTCAACACGCCAATACCAGCGGTGACGGAAAGCACATGGATAAGTTGTGGGATCAAAGGTTCTCATCAGACGCAGCTTAAATACCTTACACATAGAGTGCTGCCGTCAAATAGACCAAGGCATGACCGCGCTACATCAGGCTGTCCACGGTCGCGGCAAAATAGCGTTGATTCCATCTTCAGCGGAGCTGCCGCAGATCTTTGCATAGAGCAAGCTTACTAAGGTCCCCGATCTTACGTTCTATACTAGAACCAGTATGAGTGTAGCGGATTGCAATCCGCTACCTCCAAAAGTACTTAAAACCTTAACTCAAGGCAGATACACTTTTCCGTTCGATACCAAATTGTATTTATCTGCTTTATTTGCGGCAGAGCCGCGTATATCTAAATCTCTAGGTTTTCCTATTTTTTTTTAGTAAAACCTAAACAATATGCGAAACTACTGGCCGCCCCGCTATGTAGTTGCATCTTGTTATGGTTTAGCCACACCAGTGTGCGATTACACCGTCTTGTGCAATCCACACCCTTGTAAGATCACACAAGATGAGGTGACCCACCCTTTAATATGTAACCCTGTTAAATTAGCTCTTAACATCCTAAACACATCCTGTTTTAACGTGGGTTTTCTGTTGTCATACCACGACCTTGCGCCAATGAGCCAGGTGGATGTGAAGAGCTTTGTTAAACAAGGGGTAACTTTCTAGTGTCCCCTGTAGCTGAGCTACTCTCTGCTCCAAATAAGCGACGCAATTTCGATCCGCTATATGTGCACAGTGCGATGGTGAAACTCACAGAGCTCATTTGAAATCAGACTTGTATCACTTTTGGACGCTGGCCAAGACTCATGGAGAAAGTCGAGAGAGCTTACGAGAGCCACCAGTAGGAATAGTCTACCTCCACATATAGATATATATTATAAAATAACAAGAATGGAAATGAAATAAATAAATTTTCTTATTTAGAGATTTTACAATTTAAAATATAGTCGTGGATTTTAGTATCTTAATCAATATATTCAGTAAATTTGGTTGGGCGGTCCGTGAAGCGTTTGGTGGACAGGCCGGCACACTACAGCTGTTAATAGATTCTGATGTGGTGAATGGAATAGTCAGCTCGCACCAGGACATACCTTGGCATCCCCACCAAAATTCCCACTTCTTTCCGAGAGCCAAGCTAGAACGCCAAAGCGTGAAGAGGATGGAATTAGACTTCGAGTGCACTGTCGTGGAGCAAGAACTTTTGATTCTATTGAAAATATGGAAGAAGTGTGGACTCCATTGTGGTCCACAGCTCATCTAGGGTAGTATTGTTATCTTTTGTATTTGCAGCCTACACCTATGGAAAATCAATGGAATTTAAACTGTTCAGCTCTACGAAATTCACATACTTCGTAACGGATGGTATGGTTTGCGTGATCTGCCAAACGGTATGTATATTCAGCACATATCAATTCCATATATATGTGTACTCTTGGAGTAGCAGGACATTCTAGACAACTCATCAGATTTATGCTTCTGGTTGAAGCCTACTGATTAAAACTCTGTGCGTTCGTTAACAAAGACTCATTAAGTCAAATTTTTCCCTGTGCAAAGTGCACGGCAATCTTTTTGCGACATTTGCCGCAACAACCCGCCGCGGAGCTCACGATGACGTTCTTCCCGTTACCAATGAGCCGGACTTAGAGCCACAGCAACTTATGTGCGAAATATTCAGTCAAGAAGACATATTGGAGCTTTTTAAAATATGACAAAATGCTGAGATATGTGCTTGCTTGTATAGCAAGTCAAGAAAGACGAATGAGCTACATAAATCCAGCCGTCCAGCACCGTCTAAACACTACGTATTTTAATTCAACTAACTCGACAGTAGCTTTGGTGATCGCTCAAAATGATATAAATTACTGGTGAACCAGAGTTTAGGCTCATAAAATTAAATCAAAAAGCTTGTACGTCATTTGAATCTCTTCTTCTGCTATACGAGCACCTTGGAATCTAGCACATTCAAGGCTCTGTAGTGGATGATTCTTATTTTTGGCCTTATCAATTTGCTCAAGAAATTGTGACAGCTGCTACAACAGCCAATATCATTTTTAACAATTTTACAGGCTTTGTGTTTAAATTCGCAGAGTTAATATTTGCTCGTTTTTCGAAAAGCTTGTCTTCATATACTTTAGTGAGAAGCAGTGTCTTTCTCTAGTGGGATTATCCGTCTCAATCCTGGTTGGCTACGTGGTCGTGCCGAAGACGTTATTTTTGTTGAGAAACAGAGGCGCTAGTATGTTTTTCACGCCATCCACATATTACTTCTGCAAGGATGCTACTTTTAGTCCTGACTTTCACCTCATTCACCAAAATTGAGTTTTGTTTAACAGTTGGAGATATTTTGAAACTCTAAACGCCGCTGACAGTTATGTTTATGAAGAAAAATATTAAAAACAACTAAAAGGGATACTTGCACTTAGCTCTAACTGGTGCTGACAAAATGTATTGCGTACTATCTTGTGATCACGATATTTCAATACGTTTGCACCTCACGTACAGTTTGTGGAAATGTATATATAGTATTGAGGGGCAATCCAGGGATCATACCAAAAAAGGGCAGGCCTTTTTTAAGGCACAAAGATGCTTTCGCGTCTAGTGATGAATCGCGATCACGAGATTTATCCTGCATAATTTCTGACATGCCGCGTCGGAATGGGCCGAGAAGGCTAATTCCGCCGGCAACCACTCCATGTTCGATTTTTTTTCATATACAAAAGATTGACAATTTACGTTTAATAAATAAAGTGCTTGTTGATAATAATAAGGGAAATAATACAATGTTGCCCGCACTCAATACTGTGCCTTTTGTCTCACACATTTATAATGATATTAGTTCATACTAAATCAGTATGCTGCTAAAAATTTC